TTGGTGGAATCAAAAGTCCGGTGAGCCGTGTTGCGTCCCGATTTTGAAAAAAATGTTGAAGGAAAATGCAATGAAATCAAGAAATGGAAGCTCACAACAAGTTTCAGGAGTTGAAACAAAGACAGAAGAAGCCAATGTCGGAGTACCCAATAGATATGGAGAAGTGGTCGAAGAGAGCGTTTCCACATTTGGACGACGATTGAGCTGGGCGAAATTGAACGTATTAGAAGAGAAATCGGATGAAGTCGATTTTCCTCAAAAGTTTTTCAGAATGGTAACTAGTGAAAAAGTGAAAAACTCGTGAACCAAACGTGCACTATTTTCAGATATGGACCAGCATTATCATCCGGAGCAGAAATCAGAATACAAGAATCTTGTCGGCCAATGCTATAACGACTTTCAAGCAGTCTGATAAAGTGTTTTTCCTGTAATGAGTAATTGGCGACATCTGCAAAAGTTGCATCTCAGCCAGATTTGCAAAAAGGGAGTGAATATGAGTTCAGACACATCGGAAGACAAAATCAAAACGTTACGAGCGCCACGTTATGTGCGATAATCACTATTCGGCGGTTAGTTCTTTTGAAAGACCTGTTGATACTCTCCGTCATGAGTTTTGTTTCAGATTTCATTGTTTTCTATTTCTAATCTGGACGAGAAAAAGCATGGATCATCTGAAACAACGGAATCATCAGAAACAAAAATTTCTATCCTTATTCACCTTCCGCACGCAGCAACGAGCATTTGCCCCCATCGCTGTGTTCATTTATGAATAAATGAATTCGGATAATTGTATTTCGCATCATTAAATTGTCTATTCACACTCGATCTTTTTTGTGTGTGTGTGCGTGATTTGTGCGTGATCGTTACGAGTATGTTCGTTTGGAAGTTTTAGTAAAAGTTATTTTTTTGTAGATGAAAAAAGAAAACTTTTGATCTACCCCTATCGCAAAAAACTATTTTTGAACCTCCCTCCAATTCGTTTGCTGCGAGTCCGCAAACACCACACCCTCAGACAAAAATGTATCAAATCTTACGACATTTTCTTGAACATGCTTTTCTTTGTTCAGAAACTGAAATGGACGAGGATAGTCTGCTTTCAGACGGGTCCAAAACTCCGGGAGGCGTTCAAGAGTAATAAAAGTACTGGCGGCGGGACAAATACCAGAGCTCACCGAAAAGGATCTGAAGAATGTAGAGGGGACAGAAGGAGATTTAGGCTATTTTTACACTAGAAATCGATTTTTTCTGCTCAAGATTATCAACAACGGATTGAAAATCGACGTAACGTCAATTCTAACTGACGAGAATATTTTTAACGTTGCTCATCTCAGTTTCTTGTCTCCTGAATTCAAATCTAATGAAATCGAATCTAAAACGCTCATAAAAAAAGAAAGGAAAAAGGAGAAAGAAGAGTCACGTAGCATTATTGGATCGCCAGAAGCACCGTCACGTCATCAGAAACGCAACCCACAGAAGAAATCCATTTAAGTGGCCTTAAAGTTATGGAAAATCCTTTGGAACGAACAAATATGAAACTCGATGAATCTCACGTCATTTTTTTCGTATCCGATTATGCTCCGGATGCAACTTTGGATGATTTGCCTCAACAAGGACAACGAATAGTTTTTGACGGAAAACGGAAAAATTTTTCTGGAATCCGAGTTCAAAAAAATATAGAGAAATATGCTATAGTATGAGATCATTATACATACAACAAACAGGCTAAATTTTGGCAAGCTTTCATTATTTTTAACCTTTCAAATTTTTTCAAAAAGGAATAAAAATCCTTAATGAAATTAGAGGATGATAAGAAAATGGTCAAACAACTAATTGAAAATCACATCACATAGAAAATTGAGATGTGGTGATAAAGAGTGAGGAACTCCTTTTGAACCTAGGAGAATATTGAAAGGGGGGACTAAGAAAAACATTTCAAACCGAACCGGTGTGCTTAAGAAATGGAAGTTGGTAACCGAGATGAATAGTTAAAAGTGGATTATCATCATGATAACCATCTACTAGGGGCGGATGACCATTCAGCAAACCTATCGTATGAGGGCAAGGAAAAAGAATACGGCATTCAGCCAATATTTATTGAATGGTGAAGACTGGGAGAACAGAAATGACACACAGGGATGACACTAAGGGGCATGCAAAAGAAACAATAAACTGTAAATGTTGGAATAGAGAACGACGAGCAGGGAGTAGCAGATGAGCATATTACTCAAGTTCCAACACCACGAACATTCGTCTGATGGAATCAACGATTTGTTGGAGGGTCTTTCCAGTATCTGTAAAATCACATTGTTGTATTTATTAGACAATCAAAACTATTCTAATTATCTCAATTGAACCAAATTAGATGAAAAGTTTTCGAATGTTCAGATCCTTTACTTACAATGGAACCTCAACACCTCGTCAACCCAAATTTTTCATGAAATTCACAGGATAGTTCGAGAACTAAATATCCCGGAAAATTTGACAATCTGCAAGCCAGTTCCAGTTATAACAGTTTCAGTACCAAAAGTTGCTTTTTCACTGTAAAACAGGGATTTTTAAAAACGATTCACATGTTCTAGGACGTTGAAAATTGCTGTTTTTCTCTAAAATGCGATTTTCGAGACTGAAACTTATATAACTCTGCTGAAACTGGCGCCCGGATTCTGAAATTTTATTTGAGGTTTCTATTAGGTTGAGCGAAAAGTCATTGTAATTTTTTTCGGACCGTCATATCTCAGCATTGATTCAACTTTTTATTATTCTGTTTTTTTATATTGTAGTACTAGTTGTGCATGCTTAAAAGATTTGTTAAAGTTACCGACGGCGTTCTTAAAGACCGAGAATTTGCCCATGCTCTCAGGTGTGCTTTTTTGTTCGAGTTTCTCCGAGGTCACAAATGCAGCGTAGCTTGTCGTGAATTGTGTACAGTGTTAGGCCAGAACTATATGTCCTACACTACAATAGTTTTGGTTCAAATGATTCTCAGAAGAGAACTACGATCTCGAAGGTCTGGCCTACCACGTGTTGATCTCAACGAGGATATCTCTAGAACGCTAAAAGAAGAACCAAGAGTAACGTCTAACATTCTTGGTATGGAGGTTCGCTTTTTATACCTCCCCCCCCCCCCATACTTACTCTCTTGCCAACCGTCAGTGTTTAACTCTGTCATCACTCTCATTCTCATATTACCATGCGCGGACTCGAACATGTCGAATACCGCTTGGCTGACGTACTCCGCGCCCTGAAAAATAAATGAGTTTTTATGACAATTCTAGACAGAAAAAAGACTCACCTCAACATGGACTCTTGGGATATACGTGTCGATACAGCGCTCATACTCGCTCACGATTGACGACCAAATTGGGCTGAATTTGAGAATCCATCCAATGGACCCTGTCTCTGTGCCAAACAGTATTGGTTCCGCTGATAGCAAGGGCATGATTGCGGCAACGCGTGCTTCCGTGAAACACGTTGGCTTGGAGGAGAGGAAGAAGGGCTCTTGTGGGAGGCCTTGGCGGAGGTGTCGTTGGAATGGGCCGGAGAAATTAAAATGCGACAAATGTAGAGTAGTGTCCTGGCAGGTGACGAACATTGTTGGAATCATTTCAGGTTGTGGTGTTTCGTGTGGCACAGAGTTGCCGAATTGGATTCCATTCTCATCGAGCATCACAGTCAGAACTTGCTCATCCAGATGTATCAAAATTTGATTATGAGGCATCCTCATGGAACACTTTGGGATTTCGTTGGTAATTTCACCGATTGGCGTTCCTATGAATGCGCTCATCTGAGGTCCACCTCCTTCTAGTCTTGCCGCATGTCCAATCCAGAGCCGCACCTTGAACGGAGCTTCTGGCACATTTTCCAGTGTCACAATGGCAATTGTATCCATTTGTCCAGTCACACCGGTCACCATCCTGTAAAAAAATAGATTAGAAGATTATATTTGCTGAATGAAACTCACCCAAGGTACTTTTCAGACGAAAGGATCTGCTGAGCGTCTATCGGTACTCGGGTGCGTGCATCAATTAGTGTAAGAGTTGTGATGGGTTGTGGGTTGTATTCGGCGTATCTCATACCGATCACGTCGCCTGTAAGAGAAGCATTTTATTTTAAAATACAAAATTTCGTCGCATATTTTAAAATTGGGAATTTGGAAGCGATTTTTTTGAATGCAATTTTAGAAAACAATATTTTTCTAAAAATTATTGGTTTTCATTCAAATAAATAATTTTGCGAAATATTTTCTATCATATGAAACATCCGAAAAATAGCGATAGTGAACTTTTCATTTTTTAAAAACCTCCGAAACCGCAAACACTTTTTTTGGAACAGACGGTACATTTTTTCAACGCTTTGCAAAAATTTATAAAAGCTCACGTCTGATCCGGTGGTTGAGAAGCGTTCGCGGGATTGATTCCAACTGATGAGCCGGACGTTGGCAAACAGCTACTAAAGCGTCCGATCGACTACAGTAACCAATCTTGAGAATAGTCTCCTCGAGAGCACATTTTCTTTACATTTTCCAAAATAAATTCTTACTCGAATGGGGTGATATTAAGAGTTGTTGCATAGTTGATGCTGAATGGCAATGAGCGCGGCCGGATTTGTCCAAAATCGGACCTAATCACTATCGACCTCTCCGAGCAAGCAATGGTAAACCCGTATACACTGTCAACCTTACACAGTCGCATTGGTGAAACCCCAGATGGTTCTTTCTTTGGAGGAGTCTGATAGAGTTCTTTATAATCAAAGTCGTTGAAATCGGTGACTCATCCGATTTCATCGGATACCAACAGAAATCGACCTTTTACCAGAATTGAGAATGGTTCATACTCAAGGAGAACGATGAGGTGCTGAAAACCACAGATTTGAAATTTTTTGTTTGATAAGTTCACAAACCAATTCTGTTAAATCCAACGTCAAGCGGAACACGGACGGTGCAGTCCCCCCGATTCCAATCACAAAATATTTTGAGCAGATATGTTCAGATCCTGGAGAGTTGGATTGGTCAATGAGAGCAATGCAAGTGATCTCATCGTTAACATCTTTTCTGCAGACATCCACGATTGAAGCTCTTCCGTTTACGATGACTATGCGCATCGTATGAATGGTGTAGTGTTGAGAGATGACAATCGTTCCGGTATTTGGATCAATGAGCGATTCCCTGAATGGATGGCCTACAGATCCTAGTAAATCCTGTAGATTTTGGTTGAGTAGCACTGTCCATGAATCACTTTCCGTGTTATATTGGAGAATCCGCAGAAAACTATCGGTTACTTGGCAGGTGTGTTGAGAATTGCAAATATTCGACGCAGCCAGGGTTTTGTTCACGTCGAATGCGTGTTGTTGAATTTCATCGATTTCAGCACTTTCCGAGACTCGGAAGATCCGTGTCCCGGATGTAGTCGAGCAGATGAGAATCGAGTGGCTTGTGGAGTTCGGAGTTTTGATCGCAAAGCACCTGGACGCACTGGACGTCGCCACAAATCTTTCCATCTTGAGCTCCATCTTGAGCTGAGGAGAAATAAAACGGAGAGTTCCCTCTTTTCCCTCTCCGGAACTTGTGACTATTTCTTGAACAGTTCGGGTTCGTCGCTCGACGATGTCACGAATCGGACCGAGATTTTCAAGCGTGGCCACGACCTGAAATAAATAGAGATACTTACTGAATATTCTAACATTTTTATTACCGTATAAATCATATCTCGTTCAATCAGAAACAGTTGTGAATCATTGACGTCGCTTCCAATGAAGATATACTCCTTTGGTTCATTTTCGGTCTCTCTTTTGAATACAATATATGACATTGCTGATGGCTGCGTGCCGCGAGAGATAAATGTGGTACTGTGCCCGACGTTGTTCTTATGCAAATCAAGGAAGCTCAAATCACCATCCTCCGAGGACCCAAAAACTCGAGTGAAATGTTGAGTATCTTTCGTGACTGCACCCATGGTGAAAGGATTTTCCTGAGCAGCATGATGAGACAAGTGGCGTGTATCAAGCCTGAAAATTGTGAACTGTAACTAAGAAAACGAAATGAATAATAATGGCGGTATTTTTCTAGTTTAGAGGTCCCAATAGAGGTTTGAAATTTGACATTCCAGAATTTGAACTTTGTGAAAAATTAATGTTTTACGACCTTGAAGGATAACAACTATTGAATTGTGATTGTCCCTAAAAGGTTTGTGTCCATTTCTCTTTTGTCATATATATTAAGCGCAATTTGCCTAATCATGGGGAATGTTGATGAAAAAGTAAAGCCTCCATAAATAAACTGTCTATCAGGCTCAGGTGTTTTTTTAGAATTTGTGCAGCCCAAGCATAAAATCTGTCATCAACGCTTTTTTTATAGGTCCGCATAAATTGAATTTCTCACACAGTTCCAATGCTGGTACATTATTCTGAAAGTTTGGTTTTTTTTTTAAATTTCGGACCATTAAATTTTTTTTGGATTTTATTTTGGGTCCTATGATTATTTTTGGGACTTCTAAACTAGAAAAGAGTGAAATAATGTAACTCACGTGTGAAACACCATACCGTGCGTGGTGAAAAGGCACATTGAGAAGATCGGAGTAGGAATTGCAAGAGTTCCATAGATTGTTCCATCAAAGTTGCCATATGCGAGGACTTGAGCGATTCCTGGTGTGATAAACAAGCGAAACCATGTTGTGTTGTTATCGCTGCATTTGAACACCACTGGTTGATTTTGGCAGGGAAGACAAACGTCACAAATGTCGTTGTCGGTTGAGTGCTCCATATATGCGTTATTTTCGTCAGCTCCGTACGTCCACAATCTCAATTGGCCCGTACTGCATCCAAGAACAATCTGCATGTTGTTAGATTCCAGGAAATAGGTTTCGAGGAGAGGGCGAGGCTCAGGGTTCGTGTATAACGTGTCTGTGATGACTTCGCCGTCATCATAGGAGAAGACATAAACATCGCCAAAGACAGTCATTGCGACCAAACTCTGAGGTCCCTGAAAACGTTACATATTTTTCGTGGTTGTAATGCTAAACACTCACAGGGCGTCCATTGTCCAAGAACCGAATAGCCTTGATTCTCTCTCTAGCGGATGCGGTGAGCAACGGGATGAGGTCCTGCCCACCGAAAGTGTAAAACTTGATAGCGGATCCAGTGGCAATCGCAATGACGTATTTGTTTTCTTCTTAAAATAATTGTTTGTTGAATGTTTTAGAAAAATTTCATACCGAAGAAGCATCCTGACGCACAAGCAGTGACATAGCTGAAAAGTTAAAAAGAGTGACAGAAATCCTTTTACGTAAAGAGAAATGAAAAAAATGTAGGCGTGGTTTTCTAATGACTTTAAAATCAAAAATTGAGGAACTTAATGAAAATGGTCAAGAAAAGAAATTTTGGAAAATTCTAAATGTAGCGAAATTCTGGTTTTTTAAACAAAATAGAACACTAAAAAAGTGGTGCTCTATACATTGTGCGCCAAAAGTATGGTAACACAACTTTCGCGCGAGGTGGTGGGCGCTGGAGAATTTTTTGAAATAAAATTTTATGTCCACTATTTTTAGCATTCCTTGATTACCTTATTACCAAAATTTCATGTCACAAGGTTGATTTTGACGGGTATGATGACTAACTCTATGCACCAAGGTACCATCGTTGAGATAGCCGAGAATAAGGTTGGCCTAAGTAACATCGGAAAAGCTGGTCGAATCTGACAAACAACAAAGTTGGGGGATCATCGAATGTTTTGATTAAGTAATGTAACTGAAAGAACTTCCAGAAACACTAACTGCTAAAAGACACTATTGAAAAAACGAGATGCAGAGAGAGTGAGAGACACAAACAAACGCTATGCACTCACAGAACCTCTATGCACTCAAAGAGACCTTTGTAACCTGAAAAACTAGAAGACACTAAAACACAGAATTCCTATAAAACACTATTTATTGAATCAACAATAAATCAACCTATTAAAGGTGAGTTAAAACAAATGGAGGCGTCACCAGTGTGAACGCACTCCCAAGCAAGAACTGAAGGGGAAACGATGAGAGAGACCACGAGGGGAGATGCCCAGAGAAAACAGAGAAGTGTCTGTTGGCGCGCACTTTAAATTCGCGCGGGGTACTGTGACCCACTTTCGTTTGCATGTATTTATCGGGGGAGGTTTCTCTCCTGTAGACTTGGAAAGAGGGTGAAGAAGATAAAAACCGGTAACCTACCGGACATCTCCGTCCTTTTACGAGTCCCCGCACATGCAACTAGCAAACCAGTGCTTGCCTCAACACACAAGAAAAACAATGAGCAAAAAAACCCCGGTTCGGCCCCCAAGTAATGTAACTGAAAGAGCTCCCAGAAACGCTAACTGCTAAAAGACACTATTGAAAACAACGAGATGCAGAGAGAGAGAGAGAGAGAGTGAGAACCACAGACAAACGCTATGCACTCACAGAACCTCTATGCACTCAAAGATACCTGTGTAACCTGAAGACTAGAAGAATACAAAACACAGATTTCCTATAAAACACTATTCATTGAATTTACTCAATAAACCACTATAAAACCTTTAAAACCAGTGAGCCACACTTTAACGGGTCGTCACCAATCGTGAGCGAACACCAGCGAAAACTAAAGAAAACGATGAGAATTTGCCGAGAGAGGAGACGCGTTTTGGCGCGCACACAGTTTCGCGCGCGGATACAGTAATCCACACCTCTTGCACGTGTGTTCGGGGGAGATTTCTCTCCTTTAGACTTGGAAAGAGGATTTTAAAAGAGAAAACACGGTAGAATACCGTACAATTAGTTGAATACGACAAAAACTGACTAGAAAATGTAAAATCTTGAGCTTTGGTCATTTCGCAGAAAAACAAGGTCCTCCGAGAACGGGTTGGTCGAAATCCGTACCAAATCATGAAAAGAATGAGACTGGAGCTCTGAATGAGCAGTGAGTCAGTCAGATGATTCGTAAAAAGTGAGCTGGGACTGACCCTATATCGTGTTCAAAAGACTGGAATCCTGTCGGGAACAAAAGATCTGGTAAGCATCCATAAGTCCAAATCAACAACTGCCAGCACACGCTAAGACTAACACATGGAGAGGATTTTTCCGAGTATGGTAGCGGCACTTCCGAAGTCAGTGGGCGCCTATGTCCCTTTTCAAACAAGATTTTGAGCTTGGGATGAATTTCTAGCTAAGGAGTAAGTTTTTCTAATGAGAATATGGCTTCTAGAACACGCTGAGCAAGAGTACATTGCAATCATTGAAAAACTGCTCTGAACAGGTTTTTTCATTACGGTTGAGGGCTGGAGAGAATAGGTAAATTTGAACAGTGATATTTTTTGTTACTTAAAAAAAAGCAAAGGTGGATGGCAGGCCGGTGAGGCAACGAATTGTTTTTCAAAAGGTTGATAATGTCAGCAACGCGACAGTTACTGAAAGTCGGAAAATTTCACAATTTCCAACCTGTAGTTGTGAGCCAGTTCAGATCATCCAAATATGATTCGCTCATCAACCTTGCGAAACATTTCTGGAAAATTATTTTTTGCCTCACTGGCCGGGTAACTACTTGCTGAAGCTGTGAAAACCAATGTCGAAGAGATAATCTTGTCAAAACTAGAATGAATCTAATTAATCTTTTAAACTAACAAGATAATTAATTCGAACTAGGCTTTGGAAATCGCTTTAAAACATGGGCGCCTTCAAAATGAAATATGAGCCTTTTATAAGCATTTTTTAAAAAGTTCTGCAGGATTTGGAAATTTCGACAAGCCGTGCTTTTAAAATGTCGCTCAAAACTAACGAACATCTATAGAAATTAAAGATGTGCAAATTGCTTACGCAACCGGTTGTGACTCAGGTCATGTGTAGGTTGCCGTGGACCAAAATGCATGTTTTTTGAAAATAACTTATTTCCTCTAATTGAAGCCCACTCACTGTCCACTTTGAATTCGATTATCTCAATTCCTATGAGGATGTGATCAAGTCGTCAACGATAACATATTGGAAATAGTTTGATAAATTATTTATCAGTTGACAAATTTTTGATATCTCTCACAAGAATCAAGATAAATAAGCTTAAAAATGGACAGTTTGAAAGGGCTTCGCTGAGGAGAAATACGGTACTCTTAACGATCCAGAAGGAATAGAGCCGCTAAACCACCATATCCTACCTATCCCAGAAAATAAAATGAAAAATGCTGCAACCGGCAGTGGAACAGCCTTAGACAAAATGAGGAAACTTTCCTAAAACGTTGGAACATAGCTACCCCGCTGATAGAACTAACAAGCTGACGCTCTTTCAAGATCGGAAACGTCTCTTAGTGATCGGAAACGATCGGAAAAGATCGGAAACGTCTATTAGTTCAAGATCGAAAACGTCTCTTAGTTACTTAGGAGTGGCACCCAAGGTTTTTCGCCGAATTGACTTCAAAACTGTGACGAAAATCTATTTTTGCCGTCAAAAAGTCGATAACTCATCATTACATTGCTAGCTAGCGTCTAATGGAACTTCTATACATCAAACTTTAGTTTAACTCACGGAATCCTTTAAACTTGGTCGTTGTACCAGATCAAAAAAAATCCATATCATTAAAATACTTGAAAAATAGCTTGGGAGAAAACGTAGCATAGCATAGAGTAAGAAATAACTGATTGATAGACGGGGTAATGAAGAAGAATGAGAAAGAATATAGAAGAATAAATGAGCGTATGATCTGAGAGTGAGCGATAACTCTAAAGAATTTTCCAGAAGGTGTTTCTCTGCGTCTCTCTCACCTGTACCCTGAATAGTACTCTCTCACTCGGATGAGCGGACCTCTACTACGCACATCCACCCTTCCGTGTCTGCGCCTCTCACACTCTCTATGCGGGAACGGTCTCTATCACATAAATAGGCGGTCGGCAGTTGTTTTCTTCTGATGGCCCGTGACCCAGGCAATTCAGGGATATAATATGTTTGACTCACAGACACGATGGGGGCACTTGGTATGTAGATAAGCATACTTGTTGACAAAAAATTTGCTCTCTCGACAGGAATGTTTTCAGAAAACCCTCTTCATTGGATTTTTTGACGGGAAGGAAAATATATCTCTCCAGCTAGTGATTATTGTACAAAAAGGGTGTGAACTACACAAATAAAGCTCTATACAAGCGCATCCAACATTGTATGTCAACAAAATTGAACATATGCTCAAAAAGTTCCTTGCACGAAAACCCCCATCGTGATCTGACTAGAGACAGGCCATTCTTTTTCGGGGATCCAATTGTAGAAATTGGATTGGCCCTCCTGCCGAACATGTTTTGCCGTCTCAGCAGGCGCGACATTTTTTTGAAGAGTCTCAGTTTGCTTTCCAAAGTTAGATCATGAATTGGGCAGTATGGTTATTACTAAAAGTGGTATGCATGGTACACTTACACACCTGGCTCGACCGAAAACAGTGATTCTTCCCGATTTGAAGTAATTCCTGCAAGCTTCATGAACTGCTGATGATTGGCTGCCCAGAGAATCAACAGACCATCACTGTGAGATAGCTAAGGAAATTGTGCCAAACCTGACAATTTTGAGAATTGAGTTTTGCCTCTAAGCTGAACAGTGGCTCATCAATGAAAGCAGTGGTCAAGCGCGTGCCAGAAATTCAGGAAAAACATCAAAGAAGGCGAAGATTTTTTGACGGGTGTTGCCATTTTCGTAAAAATTGAGGTAGAAACATGAAACTTTGTACTAATGACGAGACTGAGAAAAATATGGAAATAAAATCAGTGCACGAAAAGAAGGTTAGCTCGCGCCAGCTTGAGGTAAACTTGGTAACAGAACTTTTGCCGCACCCTGTAATTTTGTTCCTGTAAAAAAAACAAAGAATTGTGTACTAATTCATCTCGGATCCTCTTGAAGAATTCTGAACTGACAAATTGTTGATTATAATATCACGAGTATTTTGTCTGTTGACACATTTTTGATAAAATGCACAGGAAGCAAGATATAAGAATTCAAAGTTTACGGTGTGAGGACCTTTCTGTTACAGATTTTGGGGTAGTTCGATGTCGGAATTAAGTCAAGAATGGATAAATTTTTTTCAAAGTAAAATCAGAAGAATTTCCGATGTTTCGAACTTCAGTATGGCAAACAAACGGAAAGAGAGCCACTCACTGCTACGAGAAGCCACCCAATACTTGTTATAAATCATTTCATTTTTTCTCATTTTGCAACTATGGAGAAGTTGTATAGCGAAAACCTTTTTTTGTGTTATTTCTTTTTCAATTTATGGGTTTTTAATAAAACAAATCAATCTATATTTTTGATACATTTCTCATTAACTTAGTAGCAATTATCCCAAAAAAATCTGTTCCAAAATTACTGCTACTAAATTTCTATTCACATTATTCTCTCGCGTCTTTTTTTTCTACCAGCTCCTTCAACGAATATTTCTCGAACCATTTTTTTTGTCAAGCTTGATTTATCTCTTTAGAGCTTGAAGAAAATGAAAAGAATGGGCTAGAGATTTAGCCCACAAATTTTGAAAAAATGAGGTCAAATTCTTTTCTTATTTGCTAATTTTTCAATTACTAATGTTCCAAACAATCAAATCTTTAACAATTTTCCTTCTTCTTCATTTTTCTTCTCCTCAATTCTAATAATGGCGAATAGGACATTTTATGGGTTTTACGAGCCGTTTTTCTGGAAGGAAAAAGTCTATTCGAGATATTCCACATTTCATCGCTGACTTCTCCCTCTTATTGGGTAAGCCGAATACATTTTCTTTCATTTGGAAGTTCAGTGTGACTTCAGTGAAGCAATGATTTTTTTTTCTCACAACAGTGAACTAAAATGCAAATTTTCTGATTGTAAATTAATCGATTGACAGTAGAGAAAACACGTCTAGATTTTTTTTCCCAAATTCCGTTCTCTATGGCATTTAAAAAATATCCTTTTTGAATTCCTGTTTTAAGTAAATTGAAATTTACAGTGTATTTGCTCTTCAAGCTCAGTTATCTCGGTTACTTTGATAGGTATCAAAAAACTTGTCAACGAATAACATTTTTGTAATTTAAGAAAAATATCTTCTCAGTTGACAAGTTTTAGATATTTTTCAAAGGAACAGAGATAATTGAGCTCAAAGATGACGCTGTGAGTGAGCTTCTATTTATTAGAGAAAATATGTAGATTAGGTTCAAAATGAAATTAATTTGTTTCACAAGCATTATTCAAAAAAAAGAGGTTTATTCAAAACCATCCACAATTTTAAAATGCCTGATGTCCTTCTCATTTTTTCGCAGATTTTCTCATCTGTTCATTTGAACCAATAAAATCAAAAAAGTGCCATGAACATTCGAATATTTTGTCTGTCACAGTAGATAAACTTGACGTCCTAAAACCCACTTGGTCAGAACATTTCTGACTATGCACCACAAAAAGAAAGGTCCAGTTTTGTAGTTTACTATTTTACTTGTATTCCGGTAGAACACATGTCTACATAAAGAAGAAACATATGTTTAGACGCTTTCTGTATTATTCACTCTTTTATTTCAGTTCTCTTCTATAATTTATCAAAAAAAAATAATTTGGTCCTTAGCTATTATTTTGTCGTCATGTGTCTGTATTTTTTCCACGTTCTATGTCTGCTTTCATTTATTTTTTCTTCCAAATTCCATTATTTCAATGCAGCATTCTCCCTTTTTTCGATTTTTGTTCGCAAGGTCAGAAAAATTCATTGGTCCACGAAAAGGTTTCTTCATCCGATTTTTATGACACTGACCTTTATTAACAAAAATGGGAATAAAGAGGAATTCTGCGTTGAAAAAAATGACATTTAGTGAGAAAACATATAAATGACCATTAGGAAAATGTGGGATAAATGTGGGAAACGGCCACTCGAAGGAGAGAAGACATGAGATTTTTTTCGGATTTCATTTGGACTTCAGGTATGCATTCTGAAGTGACGGTATGCAGTGTTTGGGTTCAGATGAGAGCGTTCTGGCTCCTCCAGCGTTTATTCCTCAAGTTCAGCTCCTCAAGAGGCGGATCTGATTTTGTGAAAATCGTTTTTTAATGTCCCTTCCTACATTCAAAGACCTAAAAAGCTCAAATGACAATTGCTGGAGCAGTTTTCAAGAAGAGTACCTTCTCGACCTGGAGCCTGTAAATCACTTTGCTTCTCTCTCTCTCTCTCTCTCTCTCTCTCTCTATTTCAGTTTCCATGGCATGGTTTTCTTCCGCTTTCCATTATTCACAGCCTATTCCATCTCATTTTTCCATCAATACCATCCCTCTGATGATTCATGAAAATTCATGCGAGTCTGTGTTCCTTTCTCGCATCATTTTGTGTCTTTTCCCCTCCCTTAAACAATGGGAGCTGATATGGCGAGATGATGCGATTCATTGCTAAGCAAACAGAAAGAGGACCCAGGTCCCAAGAATAATGAATCACTATTTCGCATGAATCCTTGCTTTCGTTTCTTTTTTATCACTTTTTATCACTTAATGGTCTCTTGCATTTTTTGACAGCTCAGGCTTGTCCTTTCTGTGAGCTCTACTGATCCGTAACCTGATGTTCAGAATAATAAATTTAGTTTACGTTACAGTGACAGAAATCCTGAAAAAAGGGATGAGTTCATTCTAGAAATCTGCTTTCAAATTGATTTCTTATATTTTTCCGACATTAAATGACTCAGTTCTATGAATCGGCTGACGCTTCTTTGCTTTTTGTTCTTTCAAAATGGAAAATTCGAGATCAGTCTTCGAAAGTCGGCTCACAGACAAAATATGAGTGCAGTTCTGAACGAAGCAACACGCAATTCCGATATTTCTCATCTTCAATTTGTGATTAGAGGTTTTAAGCAGCGCGTAGATGTTTCGTAACCCCCAGAAAAATGAGATAAAGATATATTCAACGTTCCAAATCCAACCTTTATATTTATTCTTAATCCTAATCAATATTTTTTGACTTTTTGTTATTCTATGTTTTTTTTAACTTCTCCACTTGTTGGCAATCCTTCCTGGGACTCCGCCTCCCAGAAATAATGGAAGCAATATGTAAGAAAGCGATTATTCACAGATAAGCAAACAAAAGAATGGTACAGGTCCTAGAAAAACGGCTGACACATATCACATTAACTCTTGCTTCCCTTCCATTTGTCATTACTATCTCATGCGTCTCATGAGAGTTGTTGAGATACTGTACTCACTATTGTAGAAGGTACAAGCACTTTGCGCTAAATTATCTTGGTTCTTTCGAAAGATATAAAGTTATTGTAAACTGATAAAATGTTTATCATAATATCATCAACATTTTACTAGTTGACAAAATGTTGATATCTTACCCAGGAATCGAGATAATTGAGCTCATAATTGATGATTTTAGTGGCTTTCTCTTGGAGTAAATACGGTAACCACCCTTTCTGGGCACTTCAAGCTCAATTATCTCGGAACCTCCAAAAGATGTCGAAAATTTGTCAACTATTAAAATGTTGATGATATTATGATGAACATTTCATCAGTTTACAAAAACTTGATATCTCTTGAAAGAACCAATATAATTTAGCTCAAAGTTCATATATAGGGTGAGCTCCTATTAGAGAAAATACGGTACACGAAAGACTTCCTGAATCTTTTAAGGCATTTTATCATGTAGAATGTCTTCAGCATTTTTCGAATCACTTTCAAAATATTTTGAGACTTCAACACTCTTTCGTTTTGAGAGTGAATATCCTTGTGGATTTTCAGTAAAGAATAATACTCATTCCCGTGGAACATAAGATTCATTATCCTTTTTACTCTTTTTCTACTTTCTCTGCTTCGTCAAAAGATTCTTTAAGAATGAACCTTTGAGCTCTGCCTAAAATCTGCCCACATCAGTTTTCCTCCCTTTTCAAGCTTCCCCAACCTCGGGAAGAACTTTAAAACAGAAAGAGAGAGAGAGAGAGAGAGAGAGAGAAAGAGAGCTCAAGATTCGATCCTCTTCGCTAGATCGTAATCATCGGTGTCTCGAGATCTTGAATTCATGAATTTGACTCTTCAAAAAATACTTTTTAAAAACTTTCTCAACTTCACTGATAAGTTTCCTGAAAAATTATGCTCTTTGATAGCGCTTTAAACTTCATTATTTTTTCTAAATTTATTGTTTAGATCTACCATCTCTCGCAATTCTATTTCAATATATCTTTTCTCTTTTAATATATATCTTTTTGTGTTTTCCATCTTCTCTTGTTCTCACAAGTCCCAACACTCCCCAAAGTTTCAGTCTGTTGCTGATTTTTATTGATTTGAGCTTCGAAATTCTTGAAGCCAATCCACAGGTGGCGACCATACACAAATAGCAAAGCAAAGGGACAGGCCCTGCTTCGCGCATAGACCATTTTCTTCCTGCAGATGTTTTGAGAAAAGTAGGGGGTAGTGAGATTCGGACCTCTTTTTCTGTATATGCCCTTTTCTTGCTAAGATTTTTTATTGAAATTTTCAACAGCGTTTTCCTTCCCTCCGTTGTTTTGTCTACAGAATTATAAACTTTAAAGTTTGCAGTCTGTGAAAGCCGAAAACCCTGGAAATGGCCAACACCGTGCGAATCTCCTCCATTCGAACCGAAAACTTCCCACGCGGGAACCGACCATTGAATGTGGGATTTGGAACCAACTTTGCGGTGGTTCGAGGAGATAACGGGTCTGGAAAAACGACCCTCATCAAGGCCGTCGCCTTCGCCGCCCTCGATGTGAGTATTTGATTTTTTGAATTAAAAATAAAATTGAAAAACCTGCGAAAAAAAGACCTTAAAAAAGATTGGGGTACCCTAAAAATAAAAATAGGTAATTAACAGCCAAATGAGGTGTGATATGAAAATTTTGAATTTTGTTTTTCAAAACTGTAAATTATCTTTTAAGCCAAGGTACCGTATTTCCTGTATTAGAAGCCCATGGGCTTTTAAATTTCAACTTCTTTCTCAGGGTGGGGTTCTACTGAGGTGTGGTTCAACTAGAGGGTAAGCTTTTATTTTTCAATGATATATTTTCAAAAACATTTATTTTCAAAAATTCAGAAATTAGATCATTCGGAAGTTAAGAATTCTGAAAATCAGTGTTATGGAAAATTCGATATTTTCATTCTGCAATTTTAAATGTCAAAATTCCCAATTTAAATTTTGAGATTCCATGATCTGAAAAATCAAAATTCGAGAATTATGAAATTCCGGAAAAAAATTATGAGATTCTGAAAATCTGAAATTTAGAAATCAAATAATTCAGAAGTTGAGAAATTGTCAAGTCCTAAAGTCAAAGTTCCGAAAATTCTGGATTTTACGTTACTTTTTCTAATATTAGAGGGTTTCCATTTTTTGAAGCACCTCGCGGGAGGGGGGGGGGGACTTCTATTAGAGGTGGGGTACAAATAGAGGCGAGCTTTTTTTAGAGAAAATACGGCAAGTCTGATTTCCAGAATCCGATTCTAAAATTGTTTTTTTGAAAATGTTCAACACTATTTTATGAAAATGTCAATTTTTTTAAAAAATTGAATTCCTTCAAATTTTAAAAACACGAAAAAAAAATTGAAATTTGCTAAATTCCAAAATTTGGTCTTTTGAGAAAAGTATTTCCAATTCAATTATCTTCAATTTTTCCGTGAGGCGGCCGAAAAAATATTTTTAGTAATAAAAAATATTTTCAAAACAGAATATGAAAAAAGAAAGATAAAATGAAAATAATATTTTGGAAAATTCACCTGGTGGCGATGGGCCCCGTTTTCTTTCTAGAGCCTTTTTTCGTGCTGTTTCAAACTTTTTATATCATTGAACTGAAATAGAGCTATTCATTTTTAGAAGGACCTCCCGATCATTGGCCTTGAGAATAGCACTGTTGCTGTCTCATTCCGTAAAAATGGAGTAGAGACCACGTTCAAAAGGACGACGAAGCGCAGCATCAGTCGTTTCTCCATCAACGACGGCCGAGTCCAAAAGAGGACCTACCAGACCAGATTGCATGGTTTCATCAAGGCAGAGCATTTGAAGTTTTGCCTGGACTACAACCATCCAAAACGGCTGGATATGTCCAACCCTTCTCACCTCTTGAAGGTCGTGAAAGAGTGCATCGGAGAGGTATTTTCTATAAAAAGAGATCACTGATTAAAATCAAATGTGTTTCAGAACGAGAACCAGAGAGACTTGGCACGGTTTGTCAGTAGCATCTCTACTGGAGCAAACCGGCACTATAATAATGCCACCAGGGCGACTGGGCACGCCGTCAACCAGATGAACATCCGCTACAGCCACCCCACGGGACAACTGGTGATGACTGGCCCCCACGATGTACAGTCGATTTCTCTCTCCCACACAGAGAAAGAGATGATGAACCTCTTCGTCCGAATCGCACTGTGCGAGGTGGTGCACAATTCGATGTTGATGATGGACGGCTATGGTGCTTTATTGGATGCGACAGTGGAGCCGCAGGTGAGCTTGAATTTGAATGTTAAACGTCATAATCATGATAGGCATAATTAGGAAAATGAATTATGATATCCTAGTCTGATAAAAATTATTGTTTTTTTAGTGCTGTGAAAAATGTCTCGAAAAATGATTTTGGAAATTCTATAGCAGTATCGAACTAATAAGCATATTTTCCAGGTTCGCCGAGCCTGTCAACTAAAGACCGCTGGGGGATTCCAAATCATTCTGATGGGAAGCAGGGTGGAAGCACCAGAGATTATTGCCTTGTAATTAGACTACAGCCCCCACTTTTGTACCAAAGTAGTACCCAATATGTTCCGAATCCCTCCCCTTGTACCAAAATCTTCTCCTACCACGTTCCTTAATATTCTCGAGCATCTCCTGTTGTATTTTTTGCAATTCTGCCCGTTCTCTCGAATTTTTGCCTTCCAATTGTCTTCTCGAACCCTACACCGCCTTCTTTCCAAAAAAGCTTTAAATTCTCCTCTTTTTTACCTAATTATTTTTTACCTAATTATTCCCCCCCCCCCCCCAATTCCGTTTGAAATACTGTATCCATTGTCTCTCCCTGCATCGGTGTTACCCTTTTTCATGTGTTTTTTTCATCCCGAATGTCTTTGATGAAAAAAAAACCGTTTCTTTTTTTCAATAAACTAAAAATGACCAATCCGCTTCATGCATTCATTAAATACAAGGAACTCAGATGAGTTCACAATAAGGAAAAAGTAGAAAAACATTGATTTCCAGTAGAATCGAGAGCTATCAAAATTGAACAGCGGGGGAGGAGGGGCGAGAAAACGGTGAGAGGTGGGGAAAAACAGAAAAAGGAATTTAGAAAGGTGACATGATTACTGCTATTTTGATATTCACACTCAATGGCTAGAATTAGAAAGTGACAATTTTTTCGTCAAACCAATTACTGTAATTTGAGAGTTTCATCTTAAAATTTAAGGAGTTGAACGATAGCCCTAGAACTAGAATTCTGAAATCCTAACTAAGAATTTCTGTTTTCCGAATACCTAGCTATGTTTTGAAAGACTAGTTATCTTGAAACCATAAAGTGTTTTTTTCAATTACTGTTTTAGATACATAAAATTTATTATTTTCAACTAAAAATAGGTATTCTAAAGAATAGAACAGCCGCCACTTCGATATTCAGTTTTTTTTTCTGTTTCAGCGATTTTTTGAAAAATCAAAATGGAAATGAATGCTTACCAATACTTGTTCATTCCAACTAAGCTGCAAGAGCTGCAAGTCGATGACAAACGGGAATCCGAGCTGCTAAAGGAGGACGACGACGAGAACGAGCTGATGCTCATCGTGGAGTTGCAAGCAGTCGACGAACTTAGCGCCGAGGAGTTGCACATCGAAGCTGCCGGAGAAGAATAATAAGAAGAAGAATAACGGGTTCTCATTCTTCTAATTTTCTTCTTTATTCTTTTCTCGGTGTAGCTGGAGACCACGGAAGTTGAGGAGTAGCTGGGAACTTTTGAACTTGCAGTGTTATTTATTGAATCGCTTACTCTGACGGCAGACAGCTTGAGCCGGTGGTTGGCGACGACTCAATTGGGCTCGATGAGCGGTACGACTCCGATTTCGAACTGCAGGACGAATTTGAGCCGCGGGACGAAACCGCGGAGCGGGATGAACCCAAACTGCGGGAAGAGTCTGTGGAGCGGGATGAATGCGAACTGCAGGATGAATGTGTGGAGCGGGAACCGGTGGAATTAGATGAGCTTGACGAGCGCGCTCGGAACCGCACAGCTACGGACTAAGTACAGCAAAAACGAAGCGGGCGACTTTTTCCACACAATGAACTTGTCAATTAGATTGTCGATTAAATTTAAGGGCAGTATGGTATTAGATTGATTCTCAATTCTTCAAAAAACAAAAAATCACGTTTCTACCGTAAAACCTGTAACAGAAAGGCCTTTTCACTTTGAGCCTATTTTTCTCAATTTCTTTCAAAGATATATAAAAGCTGTCAACTAATAAATTGTTCATCTTGATATCAGAAATATTTTATCAGTTGACACATTTGTTATATCTTGCTTGAGAATTTAGATAATTGAGTTCAAAGTTGAAGGTTTAAGTGAGTTTCTATTAGAGGAAACACGGTAACCACCCTATCCGTGCAATTCAAGCTCAATTATCTTGCTTCTCCCAAAATATATCAATTTTTTGCCAACTAGTAAAATGTTAGTGACATCATGATAAGCATTTTATCTGCTGACAAAAACTTGATATCTTTCGAAAGAACCAAGATAATTGAGCTCAAGATTGACAGTAGGTAAGCTCTTCTATTACAGGTTCGATAAAAACAAAATCTTTCAATAAAAACAAAATCTTTGTGTTTTGTATAAAAAAGTCAAAACGAGTTCTGAAAGTCTTTCTTTGTTTTATTGAAATTGGAAGATTTCAACAAAAGTTTAGAGATTTTCACAGTTGTTTTAGTAATCAAAAATTCACTCTAATGGACCAGTTGAGGATTTTCCACATAATTATAAAATTATTAACTCACCTCAGGAAGTTTCTCTTCCTCCACTTTCTGCTCCGAATTCTCGAAATACTCAATGGAGGCGATGGTGGTGGTGGGCAAGGGATGTCGGTTTTGTGGAGCCACTGGCTGAAACAATACAAAATAAGCTCTATATTCTCTAAAAAGTATGCTCACAGTATCATTTTCCCTTCAGACTTGAGCACCACTTTTCTCCAGACAACATCGACAGCATTCATGACGACAGTAGTTACCTGAACAGTATAAATTCAAAAATTTAGAAATATACAAAACTAAATACAACGCAAAGTTTGAAAGTAGGAAAAATAAGTTATCGGAATATGAAAAATATTTTTTCGCGGGCTTTTTTGAATTCAAAAAATAGAGAGAGGTCGTGGATGAAGCGAGACACTCTAGAAAATCAAGGTCATTCTTGCTTCCTCAGTTTCAAAACATACAACTCGAGTGGTTATTAGAAAATGAGAGGTAATAGAGAAACAGAAAAACAATGTCTTGGGTTTGAATGGGAAATAGAGAATTAAGGGAAAATTGTGGGATTTTTGAAAACTGTAAAATGTGCATTTACACAAAAGTTGAAATTCAGAAATGGGGAATTCGAGTGAAAAAGATTTCAGGTCCGAGCAGTTCTTGTTTCTACTAATGTTCTGGTACCAAAATTGGAGGTGTGTGGTAGAAACTCCGGTGGCCGTGGTCAAAGGTCCCACAGCGACAACTACCATAACCTAAAAATTTTATTTTCTGGTTTAATTTTTTGCTCGTTTCAGTTTTCTGTTATTTTCCTTAAGGTTGGTATTTATCGTCGTGGGAGCTCTGACGCCGGTTTTTCTCTTTCACTGCTCAGATTTTTTGTATCAGAATAATTATTCGAATTTGCCAGAAATCAAACTTGAAAGTACAAAGCTCAAATAGGTAGTATCCGACTAATCAAAATATATACCAACTAATTATTAACAGAGACATTTGAAAATACTCTTTGGCGGGCTTTTCTTATTGGGAATAATTCAAAAAAACAAACGAAGGCTGGTAATGTCGAAGACAGACCATTTCAAAACATAGAAGGCCCGCCGATGTTTTTGCATTATTCGAAAAGAGGAAAAGATTTTTCCCGCCTTTACCTACGTGTCCCCGTTTTTGAATATGTCTACCGATGTTCAAAAAAAAAGAAAGAATTCGAAGAGGGTACGATAAGCAAACAAAAGAAGGGCACATGTTCTAGACTGCACAGTGGCACCACGAGGCATTAAATTTTATTTTTATTCCATCTCCCTTCGATCTTTTATCGCCTTGTGAAAAACTGATGAAGCTCTTGGAGATTACTTGTATGAAACAATTAGATAAAGATAAGAAAGAATTTGAGGGTGAACAATATTTCATGAGAGATGGACTTCTTTTTGTTTGCTTACCTGTAAAATGACCGACTTGTTCCTCTGAATAGGTGAAAAAAAGCGAGGAATGAAATGACCACCGGGTAAAACTTTATGAATTTTCGACGGGAGAGTACTGATGAAATATGAGATGTTACAGATTGGGAATATAGAAGAAGACGGATTATGCGATGATATCAAAACCAATGGAAACTGAACCTGATGCCCAGTAGTGACAAAAACTCATTCCAAGCTACCACAAGTTGGATCATTGAAAGGAAGTGATACTGTACCTTGTTGCTCTTGCGCAGAATTTACAAATCTGAAATATTTAGTTTATGAGAACATTCTCAGCTAGGATAATTTTACTGTCTAGTTTAGTGACTGCCAGCCAGTTGATCCACGCTTTAATGTCACCAACATTAGCCCAATACACAATCTCATTCATGACAAAGTTCCGCCAGAAGGAAATGTCTGAAAATCACAAATCCGGAAAGTATATCTAGCCTAAACTGTCGAATTTAGAGTCATTTCGTCTTTGAAAGTGCGCTACCGTAACCTGCGCTCTCACCGCGCGGATAGTGGCTGCTCACCTGCGCGCACCAATTTGCGGTCGGAAGCTCCAAGAATTTTGAGTCAGGCTTGTTCCAGATTTTGCATCAAAAACATTTAATCTGCACCATTTTCTTCCCTTTTCTGTTCTTGCCGATATTTCCCTTCTTATCTGTCTTTCCCGTCATATTTAGCCCTTTCTTTTTTCTTATTTCTTTAACATTGTCCTATGATCTTATTTTTTCCATTTTCATATAAATTTTTGTTCCAGCAGCGTAAACTACAAAATTTATTTTCGACGAATTACTGACGTTTTTTATTTTTCAGGTGTAATTTTCCAGGTGAAGACCCTGTTCTCCATTACCACATAATAATGATTTTGCACTTATATTTTAATTGCTCACGGTTACCTGGCACAACACGAATCATGCAACACTGTCGTTAATCCGATATTTATTTTCTCAGATGAGAGGAAAAACAATAATTGCTTCAATTAAAAGCAGAGTTTCATATTAAAAGCAGTTTCATAATTGAAAGCAGAGTTTCGAAATCGCACGGGAAATTCTTATATGGTTTCGAAGTACCTTATCAAGTCTTTTCAAAGCATGATTAGATGTCACAAGACACTATTCGAATCCGCGAAACTCTAAAGGAAGTTTTCGGGAAAGAGTTTTAAAATGTAGTGGTAACTATACCGGCACTCTTCTAGAATCACGGAACAAAAAAACACAGAACGTAAAAATCACGGAACGAAAAAAAACACGGAACGAAAAATAAAATCACGGAACGAAAATTTTGTGTAATCCAAAACTTGCTAGGACCTTCATTCAAGTACTATCCTGAGATCTAACCTTGACATTACATTTTCTTTTCTCAGTATCCAAAATGACACCCGAAATGTGGTATATTGTCCTTAAGGTACACTAGTTGATAGTGTACATGGTTAATAGGTTACATAGGGCCTTTCCCAGATGTTCTGAGGATCATGGGACATATGAGAGTTAGATTAGAGGCTGCGACGAGCAGAGTTATTAAACTTGCCGTCGTTTTGGGTGTCCCACATGAAGGAAACACCATGATTCAGCCTAAGCCTATAATTGAAGAAATCTTTTCTAATTCAAAATTAGTCTTATTGGAACAAAATATTGGTTCGAACGGAATAAGAATAGTCTGATGTAGCTTTAAACTGAATTTTCAGATGTTCTACAGGTCCTATGTAACCTGTTAACTAGCGTATCTTAAGAAATTGATAAACCCTTTTTTAGTATACTTTTGGGTATTGGAAAAAGTAAAATTGATGCCAAATTAGTATTACGGATACTACTTGTCCAAGTGAAAAAGATAGTAATTTTTTGGATTACTGAAGATTTTCGTTCCGTGATTTTATTTTTTGTTCCACGGTTTTTTTCGTTCCCTGATTCTAGAATAGTGCCTTTTTATATCATCCATTTTTAATCACAGCAAAAAATTGCTTTATTAAAATATGTATAAGTTGTATCTTTCACTTCTCGATGTTCTTTTTGGTTACATTACAATAAAATTTTTTAGATTCCGAATGGTTTTGCTCCTCTAAAATTGTTATTTTGTCTCATATACTTGTCGGAATGAATTTCTTGCTCTCCAATTTTTGTACCTAAGCATATTTGACGTTTTTACATAACTCAAACTTCCTTTTTTACCACAGAAACTACTTTTTTCTCTTTTTCTCATTCCTTGCTTTTTGTATTCGAGATTCTTTCATCCGATGTTATCTGAAGATTGAGAAATTTCGTATAATCAGAATATTTGTATAATGCTTTTTTTTCTACTAACGCATATTTTGAAGAACAAGCTAAATCAGATGTTACCAATCTTCAAGAAAAAATGTTTTTTGTCAATTCTTCCAGCGGAAATTACCAAGTAGGCTCGCCCCGTCGCTCGTGTGGTTATCACACGGAAACTAAGCTTGAGCATTACCGAGCACACAATAATTTAGAATCTCTCTGTTGGAAGTGTGAACTAATTATGGGGTACAGTCAAAGGTGGAAACCGAAGGAGATTTTCCTCCTCACAAGCTACCCCTCGAAATTTCGTAATCCTACTTTCAAAATATATTTTCGAATTTCTAGTTAAGAAGATAAATCTGGTTTATAAATGACTACAGAGTTCAATATAGCAAAATACACAAGATTATAAAGATTGGACAAATATACAGTAGATTATACAGTAGGTTTCGAACACCTAAACATTTGAATTGTTATATGTACAAAAAAAAGCAAGAGAACGTTCAATACAGCAACATTTACAAGGTTATACAGATTGGAGAATATATAGATTAGGTTGAACAGAAATTTTCAAACATCTAGAACATCGAATCTTGATCTGTTCTATGTACAAAAAAAGGGCGCACATCGGTTTAGTGAATAATTATAAGCAGAAACATATGCGAGGATAAAAAAAGGTAGAGTAGAGAGCTAGCGCGAAGTAGAAGTTGAAAAAGACAAGAATATTTACATTCGATGGTAAGATTGTCGTTTTTAGGTACGATGTGAGAGTTGTAGAAGAAGTTGTAAAAGAAATAGATGTGAATAGTTGTAAAACTTGTAGTCCAATACAAGATACTTGGGAGATTCATCTGGGTGTTCACTTCTTTTTGTTTCTTTTCTCTGCTCTCAAACTGAAAATTATTAACTTTCATTCCAATCGTTTCATATATTATATTACCTTCTCTCGGTTGCAACGTTTTTTCTTTTCTTGTTTGTCGTGTCATCGCTTCGAATGATAAAATCTCGCCTACTGAGCCATCGATATTCATCAGGAAACTCTGAAAAATAGGTACGTCTTTCTTGAAAATACTGACCAAACTCACGTATTCCATACTCTGTTCGCTGATTCTCAATAGTGCTGATTCTGCACAAAATTTCTCTTTTCCTAATGGTGAACTTTTTGAACTGAAACTTGTTTTCGACTTAAAAAATCAAAAATAGGAAATCTTACCATTCCACTTTTGTAATCTGGATTGAATTCGACTCTGAGCGTTTCTTTGGAGAATGGACTTTCTTGGAAACGAACCTAGAATTGTGTTTTGCCTACAATATATTTCTCGCATAATCGACTCACGGTCAAATCAACACGTTCATGAATTTTGTCCACTCTGGCCTCACACCATCCTTTTGCGGCTGATTTTGCACTGACAAGTGTTCCAACACGAATTTCTTCAGACGAATCCTGGAATAGAAATTAATAAGCTACCAGAACAATAAAACATACGCGTACCATCTTTTTTCAATGAAGAAGACACAAATACTCTACTTTGTTGTTTTGTTGTGCAGCTTCGCATACGACTAGTCACCTGATATACGCTACCTACCTCTCTGAGAATGTGGGCGGGCTCCATTTTACTTATATATACCTATGGCAGAATCGAAGAAGAATTTCGCCCAGGGCTCATTAGTTAGGATAGGGATTATCTCGGCCTAGCGGAAAGCGTCAAATTGTCCCCTGCTGGGAATATACCCTATATTTAGAGTGCCTCGTTTTGATATAGCTGCTTGTGATGGCGGAGGAAAGAATTTTCATCGAAGAGAAAATACAAAAAATTGCAAGAATGATAGTAACAATTTTCAAAGCCAGGTGTAGGGACTACACTAGCCCAAAGGTGGAAGTCTATAATATTCAAGTCGTGTGGATATCCTGGAAAATCTCACACTCAAAATACAACGACTGACGCGGTGAGAAAAATCTATTATTTCAGAAATTCAAGAAGGAAAGCACTGAGGCTCACGTGTTTTTTCGCAAACTTTTCATTTGGCAGAAATTTTATGATAAAAATTTTATTGATTCAGAAAAATGAAAAAAAAAAGTTTTTTGATCAGAAAAAAATTTTTCATTCCGCATTATTTTTTCTGGTTGTCGAAGAGGTTTTAATTCGAATCATGATTTTTCAGGTAAACCAAAAAATTTATACTCAAGATTCTTCAAATTGAAAACACATCTACAAACAGTATTGTCGGAATAATAAAACTGCGACCTGCGTGTATGCAGACTCAGTGCAAAACACTCTGCTTCTTGTACTAAGTCACAATTCACGGCTCCCATGCCGTGAATTGTGAGCTGGGAAAGCATTTGAAATTCTCGAAATCTCATGTGATCTTCCAATTATATGGTTTCCTGTAGAAGATGTTAAAAAGTGATGAACTGACAAAATTTTGATTATAATATAAGACACGATTCGTTAATTGGCTACTTCTTTATGGATTTCCCAGAAACCGAGATAAATTAAAGTTGACGGTTAGGATGTCCATGCTATTGGAGTGTCTACGGTATTTGTACTTCTTGCTCATTGTGAGTTGCCTTCTAGAATCGAGGTACTCAAAACCAAAAAAATAACCATGATTATTTCACATGTTTTTCCACAATATAGACTATAGGTCAACCAAATCATCTTTTTCGAAATGGTCATAGACTCTGCAGTGTTCCCACAATTTACATGTCTGCGAGATCTGTATTGTTGGCTTTGAAATAGTTTTGCAAAACTGTATAAAAGTACGGGTCGGCAGACAGAAGACTAAATTTGAAGATCTTCAATCTTTTCAAAATATTCTTGTTTGAAATGTCTGGAATTTTTGAGTGCCACTCAGTGACAGAGTAAGTTCTAGATTATCCAAACCATAACTTTTTTTAAACAAATAATTTAAGAACACTCCCTAAATGGATCTACTACCAATTTCCCAAAGAAATGCTATCTGGAATCTTAGTGGGCGGAGCCACCGGTTGTATGAATGCAATTGTCACTTTTCCTGCAGACTATGTGAAAACTCAAATGCAATTAATTGGGAAGTCGAATGGTAGTAGATTTTCCAGACCATTTGATTGTGTTAGAGAAACTATAAGAGCTCATGGAATTGCTGGGCTTTATAAGGGGTTGCCTATTGTTGTAAGCGGAAAATGTGCAGCAATGTCGTGCAGGTATTAAAACACATTACAGTAAGCTGAAATATAAAATAATTCATTTTCAGGTTCGGGACTTCTGAACTTCTGAAAAGTCAGATATCTGATGAAAATGGAGCATTATCTCACTCTCAAAAAGTTCTCTGTGGACTGGCCGCCGGCTTAGCTGAAGCAGTTTTTGTCGTCACTCCATTCGAGACTCTAAAAGTGAAATTCATTCAAGACCAAGGTTCCCAGCATCCAAAATATCACGGAATTTCTCATGAAACCAGAGTTATACTAAAAACAGAAGGGCTTCTTGGTGTCTACAAAGGTGTGGGAGCTACAACTCTAAAGGTTGGCTGTGATCAGATGATGCGATTTGTCGCCATGGAACACCTGAAAGAATTCTACAAAAGTGGAGATAACACAAAAGGAATATCAAAGCCTATGCTAGGAATCATGGGTGCTGTTGCCGGTGCATTGACCGTTTTTGCAAATACCCCCATTGATGTGGTTAAAACTAGAATGCAAAGTCACGAGGGTGGAGAGTTCAGAAATTCTTTCCATTGTGCTCGAACGATTTGGAGAGAGAACAAGTTTGCAGGGTAACAAGTTTCTCTTGATTAGTATAAAATATTGATTCTCAGATTCTATAAAGGAACAACTCCCCGACTCTCCAGAGCTTGTCTAGAGGTGGCTTTGACTCAGATGCTTTATGATTTCTTCTCTAAACAATTCGAATATTACTGGGTTAAATAAAAATGCGTTTTTGTATTTCTATGTATATTTTCGTTAGATGAATTTTCTAGAAAATAAGTTTGTTAAATATGTATATGAACAGAATTTTTGTTTGTCCGTCTGCTTGGAAATATACATGAAATACTTGCGAACTTACCGTGATGACTGTAATAGAAGGTCAGTATTCACTTGCTTTTTGAGCTCAATTGTCACGATTCCTGGAAAAAAATATCAAAATTTTGTTGACTAATAAAATACTGGTAGTATTCTAATGGTTAATTAATCAGTTGAATTTTTTAATTTCTTTTGAAGGAACTGAGATAATTGAGGGCAAAGTGCTGGTGTAAGGTGGGCTTATATTAAGGCAAACCGTCAACTTTGGGCGTGTAGTTTTCTTTGGGCGTGTAGTTTTCATATTTTTGATATCTCTCACAGAAATTGAGATAATTGAGCTCAAAGTCCACGTATACAGGAGGGCTTCTATTAGAGAAAACCAACAACTTTGAGCTTAATTATCTCAATTCCTATAGAAGAAATTAAATATTTGTCCACTGATAAAATATTTATCACAGTGTCACCAACATTTTTGTAGTAAACAGATTTTTGATATCTTTCGAAAACGTTGAGATCATTGAACTGAAAGTGTAAAATTAGATGGCACTTTACGGAATATTCATTCAATAGCTAAACTTTAAGAACAACAATGAAACATGAAGGATCTAATCCCTGTTGAAAGTTATGGACAAATTTCTGAAACCAAATTTCGAAATACAGTTTCGTGAATCATAAGTTCGCAAAAAGGATAATATGATGGACTTGGCAGATGTGTGACATTTCAACTGATAAAAAAACTCGATGCTCTATTCGAAATATGAACAGCTGTGTGTTCCTGAAAAAGAATACTGCCGTGCATCGAGTATATCTCATTTTCATTTTCAAACAGATATTGAGTTCAATAATGACTTTCAAATCTCAACCTTCTTCTTTTGTACCTAATTCGGAAGCTAATTGTCATGAGAGCGAGAAAAGAACAAATTTGACAGTTTGTCAGTTGGTTGGTTCAAAAGCAGATATCTTTGCAAACGAGATTTTTGTTTTTAGGTAGACTTCTACAACAAGAAGTTTGTCATTGAGGAAGAAATAGACGTGCTGGTAAGTGAATGGGAATGCTCGAAAAATAGCTTCTAGCGAGGAAGAATCTAAAATAAAGGACTTGCTCAAATAGGAGCCCACCCTATACGTGCATTTTGAGCTCAATTAGCTCAGTTCCTCCAAAAGATGTAAAAAGTTTGAAAGTGCACGTGTAGGATTGATATTCTACAGAGTGGCCGATAATGATAGGACGTTTTTTTTTGAGAGCTCCTTGGCCCGGCGCCAAAGAATAATTTTGAAAACTTTCGAAACTAATAGAAAATAGGGTCCCTCTATAAGCAATGATTTATATCATTTGGTATCATTTTGTTTTTTGTTCAGGATTATGAAGACTTCTCCACACCAACCCATGATCGCGACTTTTCTCGAGATGGGGTGCACGTGTTGATGTGGCTAGAAGACTTGGAGTTTCTTCATCAGGTGTCCGAAATGTTTTTGAAAATATCCAAAAGGATCAGAGGAACCTACTAAAACAAAAATTAAGACCACCATCAACTTTGAACATTCACCAGACTCGGGGGATTTCAAACGTTAAATTGAGCAAAAAAATGGGTTTTAGCCTTGGTATTGCATGGTCCAGGGTTCAAAAAATCGGAAAATAGGATTTAAACACTTGCAGTTACCGTATCTACCGCAAACTGTTCCTTTCTTATACATCCGGGGCCTGCAGACGCGAAAAATGCAAAAAACTATTTTCACACCTCCACCTGCGGCGGGTGTCAGACGAGATCTAGGGTGACGTAATAAGTTTCCCTGATGAAACTCTTCCGAACCGTCGGGATCAGGGACAATTGTTACCAAAAGATGACAACGAATCTCCTGAACGTATTTTATCTTCAAATTGCCTAAAAATTTCAAAGTTTGGGATAGAATCACGGCAACCAATACCAATTTTTTGGTTTTTGGTGAAAATCAGCTCGCAGGTCTACCGAACGACAGTTTTGATGCATAATTTGTTGTCCTGGGCCACTCAGCAGTTTGTTGGACATATTTAAAACCATCTGTAAAACTCAGCACCGTCTTGTAGATCGAAATCTACAATTGCGGTCTTAGACGCTCATTTTCCTAGAAAACTCGGCTACGATTGGTGGCCCTCTAACTCCACGGATTTCAGTCCGATGGACTTTAATGTATGGATTCTTTTAAAGAACAAGATCTCAGGAACCTCCTACTGTTTTTTGGACTTCCTGTAAAGTCCATTTCAGAAGTTCTAGGGCGACTTTGACGTCAACTACAGTCGCCGCACAGCCAAATTTTTTATCATGCGTTTGGAGGCTTCTGTCAAAGCTCGTGGTTCTAATCATGACTACTTGTTATAAAACTAAAATTCTTACATATTTTGAATATTTTGATAAAGTTATTACAGTTATAAAACGTTTTTCTAAAAAATGGGAGATGTTTAGAAACGTCCTATCATTATCGGCCACCCTGTGTACGAGATAAAAAACTTGAAATTTTTAGCCATTCTTTGAATCAAAAAACAGTCTTTTCTATCCCCCAAAAACTATGCTATCATTAAAAAATTTAAATTTTTCAGAAACAGATGGATGCTGAATCTGTTAGCTCGAGACTCAAAACTCTGAACACACTGAAACGTTGCGTGGATTACCTCATCTATCTCGGCGAGATGGACTTCGATAAAGAGACTTTCGATATCGTGAGAGAGCTTCACACTCGCTTTATTGCTCTCTATTCACAGCTTTAGGATTCTTTCTGGAACTTTTATATAGTTGTCATATTTTCAGCTAAGTGTTGTTAATAAACTTTACTCGTTATTTTTGCAACCAAGATTCAAAATCGCAGACAGTGCTCATTCAAGTTATATTTTCCTCTAAATTTTATTTTTTTTCTTTCTCCTCTTTTTTTTGTCAGGACAATCGACAGAAAATGGTCGATTTGTTTTTCAAAATCTATGCAGTGGATATAATCTTCTTCCAATTTTTTCCTCTTACAATTCAATCATTGCGTCTTCCTCACTAAAAGAGTAACCTACTCGTTTCCTGAATCACGTAGCACTCTTATTCCCGTTTGGTGAAACTGAGTTGAAAGAGGATGCTTCTATTAAAAGATCCATTAGTTATTGGGAAAGAAAATCAACCGATCCGGGGAACACCCTACCGATTACTTCCTCTAGAGCGAGTCTGAATGGTTCAGAAAAAAGATCAAACGCAATTGCATTGAAAAAAGTTGTGCTCGTAGTGAGCTTTCAACAATTCCAAGAATAATTTTAAAAAATTTTGAACAACATATTTGTATATAAAATTTGATAATTAATCCCTCATAACATATTAAAAAGAAATAAAGATTTCGAAAGAGAATTGAAAAAATAAGAAAAGTTCTCCTTCAAAGCAGGTAACGAGATGTCTGACTTCGTAAATGAAACAAAAAGGCAAAAGTGAAAAAAGGGATGGGCCGAAAAAGAGGAAAAGAGAGAGAAATGGGAAAAAAGGATATTGCAGGCTGAGAGCCTCGAGGTAGAAAAAAGAATTTGGATTTTTAATCTTGTATACAAATTGATTTAAAGGCTCAGTGGACTGTTTGTGTTTTGAAATGCAGTCTCATGACACGTTCAGTCCGAAATAGATATTACACCTGAATTACATTAGCACCCATAATTAATTCTATGCGTACTGTCCACATAAGAAATTTATTTATCAGTTTTCCTTGATACAGGGATGTGCGCTCAAATTTACATCACGAATTTTAGAGAACGTCACATTTTGCAAACTCATGAAATTTGTAAATAAAAATTACATTTGCGATACAAATGGAAAAATAACTTTGCACAAATGCCCTGAAAAAACATTCATTCACTTTTAACGGTTTTTACCAATTAAATTTCACGACTCTCGTAAAATTTTACGAGTACCAAATCATCCACAATTTATTATCTTTTTTAATTCGTCAAATTCGTGAACTTAAAATCACATCCCTGTTACTGACTATTTTTCTCCATAGTGCTACAGTAAACAGAGCATTGTACCTCTCCAACAGTCAGTGAGAAAAGGAAAGGTATCGAAAATACAGCACACATGTCATTCAAATTGTCAAATTTTTCCCGTGAGTAAAATTCTAGATAATCTAGTCTTGTATGTCGTGTGCAACTACCTGTCCGATAAAATCATCAAGAGCAAAAAATAGGTCGGGAGTTTAGGTGTAATGACGATAAAAATCTATGGGAAACAACAGAACAAAAGAAATAACGAAATTAAAGTTCAGATTTTATGAAACAAAAAATTGAAAAACAATGATAGAAAACTGTAATTTCAATAGTGGGAAAAATGAGACCGTCAAAGGCGGTGTGCGGTAAAATTTTTTATTGCTCTATTTTGTGCAGAAATCTATGTAGATTCCCATAAAAGTAAACAAAAAATTGGAAAAATCCGAAGTGTTAACTGGTGGCTGAGTGAAGAAGCCGGAGTTTTCTAGTCCATCCGGTGAGAAGAAGAGCTCGAATTAAAATTTATTTTGATTTTCATTTATTTTCATATTTTTCCAAGTTTTTCAAGGGGTATTCTTCATGAGTTCAGTTCTACAAATTTTTCAGAGAAAGTTTCCTTGCTGACACGTCACAACGTCTCTAACCACATTGTCTCCCATTTCTCCATAGTGTTTGTTTCCCAAGAGTAGAACTAATCAAATAGTACCCTTGCAATGTGCTAATTGTTCATTATCGTCATTTTTTATCCCACTAAACGTTGGTGCATCTGCCACAGTGTGCAGAAAGACCTATTGAAGGGCCTATTGAAAGCCTAGATACACATCGCACATGACATACGGGCCTAGATTATCAACAATTTCCCTCCCAGGAAGAATCGATATTAGCTAGTATAAAAGACACGTACCTTGCCTTTACGTCATCGTCACTCTTAAGACCTGTTCATTCACAGTATCTACGTCTCGCTGTTTCCTCCCTGTTTTTTCGAACCCTCACGATGACAACGAATACCTCTGACCCAAAAATGCTGATGTCTGATGAAGAAATTGAAGTTATTGAAGGCAAGATGAAATCCCTTGGAACCCTTTTAGAACACCCTGTAAGTGAATTTTAATGTATTTTTGTGACATGAAAACTGATTTTTCAGAGAAATGAGTTGCCCGAACTGCAACCAAGTATCCGGAATCTGTGTGACTTCTTTAGTGCGTTTCTTATGTGCAAAAGTCTTCCTTACAGACCGGTAAAATCTGCAAAACGTGTTTTCAAAACCGAACATTTATTTTTCAGAAAGATAGACAGAAGTTTGAAACGGGTATGACGAAGATTAAGTTGTTGGAAGATTTGCTAATCCGTGTCGTGCTTAGAGGAGAGACGGTATCTGGAGTTTTAAACGAGAGAAGGCGGCAAGCTGTTACTGTTTGACGTTTTACTTTTTTTTACAATATTTTTTCACATTTCTAATTTCTTTTTGTTTCCATTTTCAAAGTTAATTTTTTGAAGTACAAAAAAAAACCAAAAAATAAGGAATAAAATCTTTAAAATATTAAGAGGAAATTTTTTCAGGTACGGTCCGGTCTGGTTCGGCCAAGGGGCCCGGCTCTTTCTCGTTCAGAAACGTTCGACAATTTTTCCGAGTTTTTGATTTGATAGAAATTTGGTATATTTTTTATTTATTGGAAAATGAAAAAAAAAGCTACAGTAAACCCGAGCCGGGCCGAGCCTCAACACTTTTGAAAAAGCCCGACTCGGCCCGGCCTAGCCAAAAAAATAGACTACATATTCCCCAATAATTACATCGCCATCCGATTAACATTTGTCTAGTAGATCCATCCGTGAAGATTATTCATCTCCCTCCCCTCGTCTCTCCCATCCGCAGATAGCACGAGTGTAGTTGTAACGGTACTCCAAGTACTTGTAGATGGTGATGAACGGCTTGGCTGAATATTCCAGACAGCTTCTGCAGCATGTACTGCATTTCTCCTTGGCCGACACTTCTGGATCGCTGCTGCCGAATGGACGGATCCTGGAAAGCTGCGTTTCGAAGAAAAATTCGAAATACTGTATCCCGCGAACCCTCAGAACCCTCAACTTTGAGCTTATTTATCTCTATTCTTGTAAAAGATAGAAAACATTTATCGACTAATAAAACTTTTATCATAATATGATGAACATTTTACCAGTGACCATTTTTGTGTATCTGTGACAAAAACCGAGATAAATCGGCTCAAAGTTAAAAGATTTTTGGGTGATTACGGAATCTGTAATCTACTTACTCAGCATCCTGTATTCCTGGCTGAGAAGTGATGACACTTCCTGGAATTGGAGCGTAGCTGGATTGTTTCACCATCTTCTTGGGAAAATCGAAGAGAAGAACAAAAAAGGAAAATGGGAAAAATGTAGAATCGAAGGGCTCTCCGTCGAGTGGCTGTTGACTAGATGTTTCTAGGCAACCTGTAGTCGTTATTCGTCGTTTTACGACGTTCTCGGCCTTAGAAACCGAAGAGAGATTTATGGATGTCGTTGTCAAAAATTTTTGGGAATGGTAGAATTCTTTGTGCCTCTTTTTCGAAATTTTAGCCTACCAACAAAAAAAAAGAGAAGGCGTGGGCAAAAAGGCAAAATTATGTGAAAGAATTGTTGGGACACTTCAAGTATGGGATAAGAAAATAGCTGTTGTTTAACGGATCTACGGTGTTTTTTGTTGGATGCAATGATTGGGGTGCTGTCACACCGAATTCCAATTCTTTGGCTTGAATTGTAGGAATTGGGACATGAATTTCAGATTCTGGAAGTTTCTGGATCGTGGGTTGGTAGAACGTCAAAAAACGTATTATTTGTGACATTGAATGATTTGTTTCTCACGATTTGTAGTCCCAATGAATAAGAGTTTTGAGAAGGCTGTGGGAAAATTACCGAAAGTTTTTTGCAGACAATTACATAATAATTAGGAAAATTAATAAGTCTTCTGCCACCAAAATCAGTTTTGAATAGTTATTTTGTTTTGGTTGTCTCAGCCGTTTTTAAAAATCGAGATTCTGCATTACTTTATTTGAAAAATGGGTAATTTTAATTTGTCTGTAAACCTGATGATGTCTCATGCTACTTTAAAAAATGAACTCGCCAAAAAATGTAAAACTTTTATGACAATTTTATCGAATTCAAATTCCAGTTTTTTTCAGAAATATGTTCTTTTTCATCCCAGATTAAAACTAGTTTTTTTAAAGAAAAAGCTTTTCATTTGAAGTTGCGCACTGAAGTCGCTTTTTTTCCTTTCTTTTTTTTAACTCAAATTTTTTTGAGCCAAGTGAATATGAAAACTTCCAGCATTGAAATTGCAAATTTATTATTTCATAGTCTAAGTTTTTTTTATTTATGTTTTTGGTAACTAACTGTTTTTTATTATACATGCAAAATCAGGGCCGGGCCGGGCCGAAGATTTCCAGGACCCGGGCCGGGTTCTCCTAATTTGAAAACTTTTTTTGAAATTCCAGAAACTTTTTCGAATTTTTTCGTGAAAGAACTATTTTTATAGACAATCCGATATTGAAAATATTTTTTCCTGTCAGAAAAGTTCTCCTTTTTTTTCTGTTGACCCCAAAAATAAGTTTGAAAGACAGAACAATTTTTTCCGAAAATCCGGGCTCTGAAAATTCTTTAAAAAAAGCCCAACCCGGCCCGTCGCAAGTATGTTTTTTATCTTGTGTTTGATTTATACACACCATGTTCATTTGACGAAATTTTTTTTTCCACATGACCCTTTGTTGCTCAGAACTGCTGAGTAAGAGTGTTCGATCAGTGCTCAAACCTCACGTAGTTCAAAAAAAACCCTTTTTTGATGTATCACTAGGATTCTATTTTCGAAAGGACTTCCGAATGATGACAAAAACATGAGGACGAAATTCCATTCCCCCTGACTTGTCCCGTAGTTTCATAATATGTAGATTTCACGCTTCTTCGAATCAACACACGATTTTCCTAATGAGATCAAACTATGAGTTCTTTTTTTAAACATTTTAATAAGGTCGTTTCCGTTCCAAACTTCATGTAAATTTCAATGCTCGGTGGAGCTTAGTGCGCAGTTCATGCAAATCAGGAGCTGATGACGACACCATTCCGATAAGATGCAAATTCAGAAAAAGTACAAATACATTTTTTTGTGCATATCTTGACACGAACCAGCACGGATTAAAAAACCGATTGTTGATTACCAATGTTATAACAAATTAACTGATAATGTTAATCTTCTTTTGCAGCTACAATAAGTTCTAACCAATATTCAGAATCCTTTATTTAAAAATTATTTCAGCCATACCTAGCCAAACGCCACCAAAAGGTCGAAAAGCACTCACAGAAAATCAACCAACAATTTCTCTTGTTTAGTAATGTATCACACTCCAGTTTGTGAATTCACATTCCAGTTTGTGAATTCACACTCCAGTTTGTGAATTCACATTCCAGTTTGTGAACTCACATTCCAGTTTGTGAATTCACACTCCAGTTCTAATAATGAACCAAAATTCTTCTAGCAAAGATACAGAGCCAAACATCTGAAAATCAAGAGAAGACCATATGAAAGTTTAAGAAACTCGGAAATTCGAAAACTGGAAAGATTCGGAAAATTGAAACGCTCTTATTTTCTTACTGGAAAAATAATCCAGTTGAGTTATGGAAAAAATGTATTCCAAGGAAAATGCTCATGAACATGATCTTATAAAATTTTCAAGGCAGTCATATATAATGTCTCTCGAATGAAAACACACAATGACACACAATTCCAGTAGGCGGCAGAATCGAAATTTAAGTTAATCACAAAAAAACAAAATTTTCGAAAATTCCCAATTTTGGCGATTTGAGCTCAATTTTTTGTATACAGCACATAGATAAGTCTAAAATTGTTTCGCAGAATTACCTGAAGTTTTAGTGAGTTTGGGAGCAATTTTGAAATTTTCGATTGTCCACCCTATAGGTTCCCTATTAGCTAGGAGGCATAGGACACCATGGACATGAAGCGGTCGGTAGTCCATGACTACATACCACACACCACTATAGGAGTTCCATGTCCCTTTGAGTTGTTCTAGGAAAAGTCCGAGACAGACACACAGAAAAGTTTCCTTAGTAAGAAGTAGATTTTATACCCCTAACTTGCTTTGCACTCCATTATGCTCTCAAAATGTTTGAACACTTTAAATTGTTTTCCATAATATTTTGAAAAAGTAGATCAGAGCAAAACTTTTAAGTTTTGACCAGGTAGTTTTGCACCTGTAATTCCAGTTGATTTTCTATTTTGATTTTGATCTTCTAGACCCCACTGACCTCATTCTCATTTTCTGTTTCTAGCCCAACGAAATTTGCAAGCTCTTCATGAAAAAAGTCTTGCTACTTATGTTAGTCTCCTTCTTCTTCTTCTTTTGAATTAAGTAAAAATAACAAGTGAGATGACATATGTTCTTAATGAAACTAATATAAAACATATGCCCTTTTTTAAACTAGCACTTTTAGATGCATTCTCAGAAAGGTAGAGTTTCCAAAAAAGGCTCTGAAAAATCGTCAATTTTTCCAACGAAATTAACAGTTAATTATTAACAAGCAAATTCTTTATTTGTTGGTCGCCACCCCAAAAAATAATATTATTGAATTCACAGTGATCACAAAAAGTTGAATCATGAAAAAAAGAAAAGACAAAAAAGACAAGAAAGAATACAAAAGGTTAAATATAAAAAGAACTTTACCGTCAAGTTCAGACGATGGGATATTATGAAGCTCAAACAAAAAGTTTTTAATGAGACCGTTATAAGATGAAAAAACACACTCGAATCGAAAAAAGATAAAACGAAAAGATGAGAAAGTTAAAGTTATATGAGAAAATGAAAAAAAATCAGATCTGATTGAATAAAATGGTTGGTTTAACGGAAGAAGAGTTGCCTGCGCAGTCTAGACATTCTTCTTCGTCGGGTACAGGAAAGTTTCGACTTTGTCCTCTCCGTGTGCGTTGGAAACGGTGCAGATGTAAGATCCCATATCCTCCCAAGCGATATTCTTGATTAGGAGGTCTCCATTGGGCTCGACTACGTAACGATCTCCGTCTGACACAATTGGTTTATCTCCGAAGGTCCAGGAACGGGTGACGAGCTCGTTGGAGCGACACATGAGAGTCGCGGCGTTACCTTCCAATTCAAAGCGACTGTCAGTCCACTGGTTGATGGTTGGTGGAGCATGACGAGCGGACTTGCACTCGGCTTGTCCGTCTGGAAATCGGTTTATAGGTTTTTATTCAATTTGATAACTAGCTTACCAACGATGAGTTCGGCGGAGCTCTTGGCGGTTTGATGACCGTTGAAAGCAATGCAGCGGTACTCTCCGGAGTCTTCTGGTTGAAGACAGGGAATGGTCAAAGTCGAGATCACGATTCCAGACTCGACAACTGGGGAGGCCAGGTTGAGCAACTTCTCACGAACGTTCACTTCCTTATCACCCTGCACACGGACGCCGTCTTTATCCCAATGAATTGTGGCGGTTGGGGTTGAGAGAACCTCGCACTCGAGAACGAAACGATCTCCGGCTTGGATGCTGGTGTCGGTGAGGGCCTTGGTCATCTTTAGGACCGGCTTTGATGTGAGTTTCGAGTCCAACTCGTTGACCAAGTTTGCCATGCTTTCATGAATCTAAAACAGGCTTTTCAGAAATTTGGAAAACCTTGGAACTTGATTCTTACGTTGGCATGGATTGGTGGGTGCGCTACAGCAAACGCCACAGCTCCACAGAGGAACATGAAGGGTGAGCTCATTTTCCAAAAGTTTCCTTCTGGAAAATGAAGGCTAAAAGTGAGGAATATTGGTGAAGAGCGGGTATTTATACGGGGCGGATGAGGTGGAAGATAATGCGGGCTCCGCCCCCAAAATCCCTAATGTTTCTGCACGGGGAGGAGCTGAGAGAGAAAAAAGTTTCGTGACGTGAGAGTAAAAAAACATAAGATGTTCTCGTCATAGATTAGTTCATGGTTGGAAAGACTAAAGGTACATGGTACAAGAGTTGGAAAAATCAGAAGAGTAAAAAGAACAGAAGTCTACTGTAACACAAAATGTTGACTATTCTAGGTTCCTGGTTAAGAAAAAACTGGCTATCAACTTTTTTCTCGATTATAAAAGACAAACGATGAAAAAACAGATATAATCATCATTTTTCCTAGACAAGTCCAAATATGAACTGTCTATCAAAACTACACTACATGATAAGCTTGTGATCATCAGCTAAGCTTCCATAAAAGTTCACTTTGACATTCTACAGCTCGAAAAAAAGAATACACTTCTCATAAACTTTAGACTAAAACTTCCAATTTCCGTTCGACGACGCGCCTCTTCAATTTCCGGTCTAAACGTTTATCCTAAATGTCATATCCGTTTGGTTCCGGAAAAAAAAATGGGGGCGAACTAGTGGAATTGTTTTCAATGAGAGGAACTAATTCAATGTTGTTCTAAGTGGGACACATGAACTTGTTGTTTGTTGTAAATTTACTCAAAAACAATTAGGAAGGCAAAAAAATCTAAAAAATCTCTTATCATTCCTACTTATCAGTTCAGATCCCATTTCTATATTTTTTTTCAATTTTCAAAAAAGTGACGAAATTTTTAAAATTGCATTTTTAAGACGCTCTCAAAAATACAAAAAAAAACCAGGCCAGCTCAAAGGAGCGGAAAGAATTTTTTGTGGTTTCAATCGGATTGGTTCCTTCCGTGACGTTGCGTGAGATCATGCGCTACACATATGAGCACTGTTGACGTTGTTGCTCACTGAACTGTCCTAAGAAGTCACCAGAAGATTTTCAGAAGATTTCAGAATTTCTGATTTTTTATGATAAGAAAAGAACCCATAATTTGGAAAGCACAACGATACGGGGGTATATTGTGGTTTAGAAGTGTAAAATCCCCAATTCAAAGGGACCTAATTTGAATTTTTCAGGAATTTTGTACTTCTGAATCTAAATTTTCACCCTTTATATCCCAATGACCCCAAAGTGTTTTGATACCCTCCAAATTTATTGCCTAGAAAGAAAAAAAATCTTAAGAGCATTTTTATGCAATCATGAAATCTTCTTTGAGGTCCAAATAATTAGAATCATAGTTTGTCCTTTGTTTTTTTTTTCAAAAAAAAAAAACAGAATTCAAATAAACAAAAAAGTCTCTAAAAGTTTAAGTAAATGTTTTCTTATCTAATTCTGCCATCCATCAGAAAAATTGACATAACTCTAGAATCATGTGTTTCCTACGACCCGAAAAATCATGTGCAACTGTTGATATCAGTTGGCATAAGTAAGCAGTTAGTATGGTTTTCTGTCAAAAGTCTCAAGAATTTTAATACAGAACCACATGTTTACCTGTTGACGTTGTTGCTCGCTGGTCTTTTTTTTTTCTTAAAGTGCATCGGTTACAAGAGAAGACTCGCGTATGAGTTATAGCAATAGTGATAAGAACATTGTTACGACAAAAATTAAGAATCTTGTGTTCACTTTGAAGCAAAAACACAAATGAAAAAATTGTTGGCTTTAGTCTGCTTCTGGTTGTTTTCTAAAGACATAGATCAAACAGTAAACATGTGAAAATTTGTTCTAACATGTCAAAACTAAGATTCGTAGTAAACGATACACGTTCTCGAATCATAATTTTCTATTTTCAGATTTTTTTCAGCTGTTCCCAATTTCCACCTGTACGCAAAGATAATTTAGATACAGTTATTGTTTGAAAATCAAACACCATCTCCAGACTTTTCAAAGAAAAACAATAAATCTTTTCAGACTACACAATCCTTTACATCATTATTGGTGTCTTTGATCGAAACGACTGATAAGATAATACCAGTCGAGAAGATGCGCCGGTCTCGTGATTTTTGGGAAAATAATTTGTGTTCTACTACTTGAAAGCAAAAAAATAAGATTACTACTGAATTGACGGGATAATGAAATTTCGAGATGAAAAGTTCTGGTTAATGAAATACACAAAAAATTCTATTCAGTTGATTCTCTGCCATTTTGACCGTTTTCAGGAGTCTGGAGCACGGAGGTCAAGTTTTCGAACATTTTGCAAACTTTGGACGGTGTGAAACAGACCTAGATTGGAAGCTTTGCATTTACAGAATTAATTGAAAATTCCTAGTTTTTCAAATATTTCCAATTCGTGAAAGACACCTGTTTTGTTCACGTTTTCAGTTCATAAATTGACCAAAAAGGGATGTCTTTCAAAAATCGGCAGAAAGATGAAAAACTAGGATTTTTCCAAAAATTCTGCAAAAATAAAGTTTTCAATCTATGCCTATTTTACACTCTCCAAAAATTTCATAGTGTTAGGGAACTTGACAGCAGAGCTCCAGACTCCTGAAAGTCATTATTGCCTCCTGTCATTATTGCCTAAAATCAACTGAAAACTACAATGTTATGTGTTGTAATAACCGGAACTGTCTGTTTATATCACATTTTCGTTGATTGTATGAAGCTTTAAAAACTAGAGAATTGTCAAAAACTTTTTATTCAAACAAAACATTTAAAAATGAGGAATGGTTTTTACATAACAGTTTAAAAATGAGGAATGGTTTTTACATAACAGTTTAAAAATGAGGAATGGTTTTTACATAACAGTGAAAGTGGAAAATAATAATCATCAGTTTGTAGATGTCTGCAAAAAACTGTAAACAGAAGACAATTTAGAATAACAACATTTCCCAAGTTAGCAGGAATGTATTTATTATGTAATATTCAGCATGCATTGTTTGTTTTGTAAGAACACATTAAACAGTTTTGAACACCCATTTATGTCTTTCATTTGGCTTGAAATTTTTATAATTGATGACCGTTTTGCTATTTTTTGCAATATTTTTGACGATTTTCGAGATTGGATCCTGTTCTGAGGAAAAAAAATCTATTCCAAGTTGGTCCGACCTTTTTTAATTAAAAAAGAAAAGAAACTCTGAAAGCACTATTCCGCATTCCTTTCTTCTTTTTTAATTGCTTTCTCAAAAATAGAACTAAAGGGTTTCGTGCCTTAATTTATTTCCGATGTGTGTCGTCATAGCCATCTCACTCAAAAGTGCACGTTTAATCTGGATTGCACTTTCCGGTCATTCTGCTCGAAAGCATTCGCTTTTGTAGGCGTGATCTCACTACTCTTGGTTGTTTTTGTAATTTTTCGAAACTAATATGCACTTTTGCGGATGAACGGATTGGAGGCGTCAATAAGTGCTGTTCGATAAGAAAATATTCTTTATAAATTTTCAGATCCTCTTTATGTGGGATTGAGGACAAACATCTCTTGTCAACGATGTTGAATGTTTCTTTTGTGTTTTGAGGATTTGAACTTGTGGACCCACCGATCGAAATGGCGCGACGATAGCAGCTGAGCTATGTTGGTGCAAAACAAACAATTACATACAGTAAAACCTGTATTAGAAGAGCCCCTTCAATAGAAGGACCCCTCTAATAGAAGGGCCCTGTCAGAAATGTTCGGAAAAACAGAAGGGCTCCCTATTATAGAAAGGCCCCCGTAATAGAAGGGCCTCCTGTAAAGAAGGACCCCTCCAAAATGTGTCTTGAAATTTAACAATATGTATTCTTTTTCAGTGAAAAAAATTACGAAAATTTGATAATCCAATAGAAATATTTTGAAACACTATTTTTTGATAAAAAATTAGCTTAATTTCGTTGAAATTGACAGATTTTCATGAATTTTGAACAAAAATCCTTCGCATTTTTCAATGAAAAATTACAGGAAAATTGACCGGAAAAATAGAAGGGCCCCCAATCGAAACGCACCTGTAATAGAAGGGCCCCAGGAGGTACCTTGGAAAAATAGAAGGGCCGGCCCTCCCAATACGAGTTTACGGTATATAAAAGCGTCACGACAGCCACTTTGTAAATTTTAATATGTTTCCATTAATGTTGAAATGAATACCGTAACTCCAAAGTAAGCTCCCAAAAATTTCCCATCTCTCCCTCTTTAAAATTTTTTACGTTTTAGTTTGAATTACGTAGGCCGTCAATCCTGCCAAAAAATAATCCCAATGTATTTCTTTGATACGAAAATCTCTACTTATCTCGGATGTACTTCTCAGCACAAAAAAAAATGATTTTCAAGAGAGCTTTCATCAAGGTTATGAAACCATTTGAGTGATTTAGAAGTTTGTAAGGGTTTAGACTCAGCGCCTTTTTCTGAGTAGTAATACAAAATCAGTGCATATCCCATCGAGGATCCTCCTTTTCTTAGATGAATGACCTTCTTGCGGAGTCGAGACATCGGAAGAGAATCATTGTTTGGATTCTCATATGAAGCAGGGCTTGATTGTTCTCGGACTCATCGACTTTGAGGTTATTTGGCAAGGTGAACTTTAGTGGGATGATTTCAGTTTCGGAGGGGATGGTGTCTGAAATTTTCTTAGTTCAGGTTTCAACTTGCTTTTTATCAATTTTTTGGTTCAGACCATACTCGTCGAGAAGCCGATTTCGGGCCAGCACGGGCTGGATGATAACTTGCTTCAAATTGGGAGCAACGACATGCCAAATTAAGGGGGTCGCCGGTAAGGACAAGAATATCGTTATGGAAGACGGTCCGGTTTATTGAAGATTGTACAGCTCGTGGCGCGCTATATTTAGTGTGTTGTTTCGCTTAGAATTTCAATTTTGAAGCTGTTTCTCAGCTGACCCGTGCCGGCTCGGAATGGGCCTGTCGACAAGTGTGATTCAATAAATTGAAAACTCACATTCTCCAGAATACGCATTATCAACCCATGGCTCTAACTTTTCATTTGTAAGCAAATGCAAATTTGTCCTTTTGACCCTCACAAAAAAGGCGAACATGCTTTTTCTAGTTAACAATGGTGGAAGGTCGTGAGCAGTCTGATTTACATACGAATCGCTGAAAATTTCGAGTTCAAAATGTTATTCTATACAAGAAAACTTACATGTTCCAGCTTTCATTGTACATGTATTGTAGGTAGCGGTTGACGTCGTTCCAGAAAATTTAATCTTTACTTCGAAGCAAACGGATCCATCAGCCTTAGTCTGTGGGTTGGATAGGAATGGAAGTATCAGCACTCTGAAAATGAGATTTTTAAATGCCCAGTCTTCCAACTACCTGTGAATTGTCGTAGTCACTTGGCAGCGCATTGAACTTCACAATCGGTACATCTGCAGTGCAATTGTAGAGAATAAGAGCGTGGTTAACAACTAACTGAGATTCCACATTTACTACGTAGAAGATATGTAAATTTTGATTTTCATCATGTTTATACTGATAGAATTTTAAGTTGTTCCGGTTTTCGTGAGCCTTTTGTATTTCTAATGCTTGGAGCTTATGACAACTAGATTATACTTGGCGAAAACTGAAAAAGAAATCGTTGGCATAAAACCTTGTTTTTAAAAAGTTATATAAAATATCATACCTTGAATACAGAAGTTTTCGGATCTTTGAAAACTACAAACTTGAAAGTCGTCGTCCCGATATCATCGATCAAGGTGAGAAAGCATCATAGAGGATCACGTTTGGCACCATTTCAGAACCATCGACAAAAGATGCATAGGCGTGTGAGTTAACCACCATCGGTGGGTGTGGTGGTGTAGAACAGTTCAGTAAGCCAATGTACATACTGGAAAGAATATGTAAAAGTTAATACATAGTAAGATCGGCTCTTTTCTAGTTTAGAGGTCCAAAAAAAGAATAGAGGTCCGAAAAAAAATTAGAGGTCCCAAAATAAAATAGAGGTCCCAAAAAAATTAGAGGTCCCAAAAAAGTTTAGTGGTCCCAAGAAAAAATAGTGGTCCAAAACTTAAAAATGCACAGATACCGGAATAATGTACTAAAATTTGAATTGTGTAAGAATTTAAAGTTTTGAGGTCTTATAGCAAAATAATTGTTGATGATATATTTTATACTTCTAATAGGCTTAGTAATGCTTATTTTCTGACAATTATCTAAGCTTGAGAGACAGCATAATCACGGAGTGATTACTGTATTGCCCAAATTTTCCTCATATGTAAATTGGGTTCATCGGCAAGATGCGAGAGAATTGGAGCTAAAATTGTTAGGAGTAGTCATGTCATCCTATAAGACCCTAAAACTCAAACTACTCTCACAGTTCAAATACTAGCACATTATTCCAACATCTGCGCGTTTTTCGTATTTTGGACCTCTATTTTTTCTTGGGACCTCTAAAATTTTTTGGGACCTCTATTTTATTTTGGGACCTCTAATTTTTTTTCGGACCTCTAAATTTTTTTTGGGACCTCGAAACTAGAAAAGAGCCGTAAGATCTTCTTACACAAGAGTGGAGTTGGAGATCCATTTCAATACATTGATAAAATCACCAACCAAATCCTTAACTAACACTTTCAAATACAAGTGGTTTGGTGGCTAACTCGACTGTGTCCCTCTCGGAATCTGTTGACATATTGGGATATCCAAGCTTGTTGCATTCATCAATGCTTTCTAAAACTTCCGGGACAGATTTCTAATTTTGACTTGAATGGGAATCTGTGCTTTGACTTCCTCTTCTTTGATAACTTTTGGAATTGGACCATTGTCACTGTAGATATAAATAATGCAGAAGTTTCCTGATTTGCTCTGAAGATGCAAGGTACAGAGAATCTAAAAAATTGTGGAGATTAATTTCCTTTTATGACTTCAGAAAGAATATGTTAACCCTTTTGTGAATTCGTGGACAGCGTTCGAGCTTCCAATTCGTTTCATAAACCAACGATTCTAGCATTCTGCCTTGCTTGCCAGACACTAGAAGATTTCCATCTGTCTGAAGGGCACGACCATACAATTGTTCGGGATTCTCCTTCCCGTCTGAAATTTCAAAGTGCATTTTCTGACACTTTGAAACTCGAAACTCACAAATGGGGCACCACGGAGATAATACACCTTGGCGATATGTTCCCGATTGACCAATCCAAAAGGTACAAAGTATACAAACGTATCTGTTGTGTCGATCAGCGGGGCGAATCCGAAAGATCCTCATTCAAGTCTGCTATTTGTTTCGCGTGCTCGGAGTTGTGAGCCATGTATTTGATCAAAGACTGGTAACTTCGTGCCCATCAAGTAGAGGAGTTTTTAGTTTCAAATATACGCCTCCATGTTTGCCAGTAAATTGTTCGCTTTCAAATGGAGTGTCAGCGAATTTCGGTGATCTGTTTTCCACATCGTTCTCTGCGTAGTTGAAACTGTAGAAGTACAAAACATTTTTAATGATGGTGTCAAATGTTCCGCTGAGGTAATAGATCTGTAAAAGTTTCTCATTTTGCGTAGAACAACAGATATAAACAAACCCTTTTTTCTATTAGGGGTTTGCAAAAGTAATGCGCGTCAAGTTTGGTGTTTTGTATCTCACCCAAAACAAACTGTTTGTGTTCAATTTTTTTTGTTTTAAAAAGCGCGTTCTTGGGCTTCATTTTGTTATATTATATTGCTGTTTCAATTTGATTTCTATGAAAAAAACATTCTAGAAGATGTCCGACCAAAAATTTCGCCTTCGAGCATTTTTGTGGCACCAATTTAAGGAAGGAAAATAGGCTGCCGAAGCTCACCGCTCACTTTCTCCTGTATTCGGTGAAGAAGCTATATCCGAAAGTCAGTGTCGCCGCTGGTTTCAGCGCTTCAGGAGCGGAGATGAAAGATTGGAAGATGAATCGCGCCCTGGTCGTCCAGAGCAGGTGGACAACGATGCCTTGAGAGCAGCAATTGAAGTGGATCCTTGCCAAACTACACCAGTCTCTCGGAGCAGTTCGGCTGCGATTTTTCCACAATTTCCAGACATTTGCATGCAATCGGAAAGACAAACAGATGTGGAAAATGGGTCCCTCATGAGCTTTCCGATTCGAACAAGGAAAGACGTGTTGAAGTTGCCAATATTCTGATGCGCCGCTCCAAAAATCGTGGTTTCTTCGATTCGAATTTGACATCGGATGAGAAATGGATTTAGGACAATAATGGGAGAAAAAAAACAGTGGCTGAGTCCTGGCGAGACCCCGAAACCGACTCCAAAACCGGACATCCACGGAAAGAAGGTGATGATATGTGTCTGGTGGAACACACGAGGTCTCGTGCATTTTGAACTTCTGAGACCTGGTCAAACGGTGAATGCGGACCTTTACAAAGATCAGCTGGACCGTGTGGACCAAGCTCTCAAACGCCAAGGCGTGGACACTTCGACAACACTCTTGCTCCATGACAACGCTCGACCACACACTGCAAAAATCATTCAGCAGAAAACTCAGGAGCTGGGCAGGGAAGTGCTGCCTCATCCGCCATATAATCCTGATTTGGCACCATCGGACTATCACCTATTCCGATCCATGCAACATCATCTGACCGAGAAAATATTCGAAAGCGGTGAAGAAGTGCAAATTTGGGTGGCGGACTATTTCGAGTCACAGCCAGAGGAGTTCTTCACGAACGGCATCGCTGAATTGCGCACACGTCGGCAGCAAGTAGTGAACAATAATGGAGAATATCTTATTGATTGATGATCTCTTGTTTTGGTTTTACAATAAAAGGAAGTTGCATCAAAAACGCGCATTACTTTTGCAAACCCCTGATAGTCTTGGATTCTCGGAGCATCGAACATGACATTCGGTCAGTTTCAAGCAAGTTGGAAAAGCTGGATTCGAGGCGAACATGAAGTTATTTCCACTTTTAACCACTGCGAATCGTTTGAACTTCGAATGATTCTTTGATGTCGAATCTTGAATGGGGACCCAACTTTGAACACCGTCGCCAAGCACAAGTCTTGTGTAGTAGTCATGTGCATTGACAAAAAATGCAAATGTCTCTTATATGCGGCGGCAGAAGATGTGGCTTTTTGTTAGATAGCCATCCAACACGTCTCCTAAAATTCAGGTAAGGGGCTTCTTCGATCTTGCAGAAAACAAAAACCACTTACACTTGATCACGTTCAACATCGTTGGTTAAAAGATTCAGGATCCTGTCCTTCTTCAACAATCCTCCCAGACGTTTTTCTGCAACAAAAGCTCAGGAACAGAAGCAGATATTAAGTTCTATTTATATTTTGAATCAAAAATCTTACAATTTTGCACTTATAAAAAGTTCAAACAAGCTTTTGAAGGCAAATACACAGAATGAAAAATGGTATTTCAGGAAAGGAATGTTGATTATTGCAGATTATAAGAAAATAAGACTACTAGGGCCAATGATGTTGGGACAAAGGAGTATTAAATGTGTTGCAGGTTTACTGAAAACACCGTACAAAATTTTGTGGCAATTATTTTACAAGAAAAAAGGAACCCTATTTTGTGGACTCGTTGGGGAAGCAGTGTTTAAAGAGGCAAAATTATTGTTACCGACAATACTCTAATAGGCGTGCTTCCTATGATTGGAGCTCAATTTTCTCAGGTCTTTCAAAAGATATCGAAATTTTGTAATGAAATCTTCGCAACATTACGCAAAAAATTTTATCAGTTGCAAAATGTTCGGCATCTTCCGAGAGAACTAAGACAATTGAGGGCAAAGAACACGTATATTGTTGGCTTCTTTTAAAGCATTTGTGGTAAAATGGATTTCAAAAATACAATAAAATGAACAAAGATACAGAAATTCAAAAGTGAAATTGACAGAAATAAATACTAATCAGTGTCGGATTCTTCTTTGTTCTTCTTTCCACGATACATTTCTTTGTCCTCTTCAGTCCTGTCCTTGTGGAATCTCATGATAACGTTCTAAAAGTAAGTTGCTTGAGAAAAATCACCATTCATCTAGATCACCTTATCCCAAATGTTCGATGAGTGTTTGACGACAGCTGCCGAAGAGATGGGTTTACTGAAAAATATCAATGTCTACGACTTTTAACAGAACGAAAACCTACATTTGCGCACGGTTGGCCTTTGAAGACTTCATCTTGAAGAGCCGCTTCATTCCTTCGTAGTCTGGCTTGTCCTTGTATTTCAATGTACGGCACATCTTGAGCATGCTGTTGAATTGTGGAACTTGGCAAATTGTTCCCCCATCAGTTCCTCCCAACTTTGCATTCCAATACACCATGTGGTCAGAATGATAGTTTGGGTAGGCCATGTGCTTCCAGCGTCTGTCGATGTCACAGAGTTCCATCAGTGTGAAAACCACCGACTCTAGATCATCGCGGCGGCTGTTCCCTGAAATAGTAAATGAAGGGAACACTGTAATAGAAGGTCATCCTTTACTTGCATTTTGAGCTCAATTATCTCAAATTCTATAAGAGGTAACAAAACTCTGTCAATTGATGAAATGTTTGTCATAACATCACCAATATTTTATCAATTGACACATTTTTGACATTTTTTTAGAAATTGAAATAGTTGAGCTCAAGGTGTAAGTATAGAATGGACTCGAAGGTTGGAAAGGCAAACTTACAGAGAGACATATGCTGGTTGGCACTCATATAGTATGGGGTTCCGTTTGCTTCGCGGTAAGTTTCTTCCATGTGCTTTCCCGAAGAAGTCAAGTAAGTCACGCTGAGTCCGAAGTCCAAGATCTGAAAGTAGATTGAATATCGGACTACCGTATCTCCCTTAAACGTGCTCTTTGACTTCATTTATCTCGACTACTTCAATAGATATCAAAATTCTTAAACTTGTTAATTGTTCACCGCGATATCTCCAATAATTCAGTTCACAAATATTTGGTATCACTCGTGTGAAGCGGGATAATTGAGCTCAAAAGTTCACGTATAGGGTGGGCTTCTGTTACAGTTAAAACGACATGTGGGACTTACATAAAGTTTCGATGCCTTTGATCCTAGCCCAAAGGCAAAATTAGTTGGCTTAACATCGGCATGAATAATCCCTTTGGAATGAACTGCCTCGACAAGATCGATGAGCATTGGAGCAAGTTTGAATCCCTCAGCAAGTGTCAGCTTTCTTCCCTTCTGCTTGACAAACTCGTTCAAGCTCATTCCGACAAGCTGCATCTGCATGATCACACATCCTAACTCTCTCCATTCCTGGATCAGAACAGGAACTCCCTTTGTACCATTGACAAGTTTGAAGGCAGCCAGTTCTCTCCTAGATGCACTTCCCGGCTTTCCAATTTTGAGAGCATATCTTTTCTTTGTCTTCACATCTTCTGCCAGCACCACAATTCCATACCCACCACGTCCGATGACGTTGATCATATTAAAGCGACCCTCTCCAAAGTGGATATCGGAGTAGAGTGGTTTGTCAGAGGATTCAATCGAAAAATCCGAACTAGAATTTGTGTCCGGAGCAGCACAGACGGACGCAGAAGATCCGATAGTTTCAGACCTGAAATTAAATTTCATAAAAAAATCGATATGTCATTTTAAGATAAAATTCTTTTCCATTTCAAAAAAACAGTTCTTGTAAACAAAAACACTATAATTATGAGTCATGATTCTAGAACCTTCCGGAATACACTGGAATTTTTGTTTCTGGAACCGTATCTAAATATTCAAACAAATAACGAGTATGGTTACTGTAGCTTTTGAGGCAATTCAGCAGACTTTTCAGGTGGTCAGTCAAAACTGATAACACAATTATCGATCTATTATGAAATTTCTAAATTATTTTAAAAACTGATTACCCTATTATGAGTCATGGTTTTTCAAAAAAAAAGGTCACCTAGCTATTGCGAGTCGAGTTTTGTAGGCCGCTAGATGAAAATGGCCTGGAAAACACACCAGAGACACGTTAAGCCATTTCCAAGTCATATTATCATGAAGGCCTAGAAAAATAAACTTGGAAAAGTTAGGTCACCACCTCAAAATGAGCTAGAAAACACACCAGAGGCATGTTAGGCTATTTTACTATAATGGACTAGAAAACTCGTTTGTTGCAAAACTTAGGCCGCCATTTCAAAATTACCGAGGAAGCACACCAGGAGCATGCTAAGCTATTTTTAGGCCATTTTACCATAATAGCCCAGAAAATTAAACTCAAAAAAGGTAGGCCACCACTTCAAAATGACCTAGAAAACAGACCAGGGGAATGTTAGGTCATTTATAGGTCACTCTAACTTGGTGGCTAACTTCCAAAAGTTAAGACATCACATTAAAGTGTATTCGTTTCAAAAGGTTTCGAGTCACACTAGTCTAAATTACTAGTTCAAACGAATCTTTATTGTTTCAATTCAAAAATCAAACTCGAGCTAAATTCAAAAAGCAATTAAGCACTCCAAAAACTCCTGATACTTACTCGGGTTCTGCTTTTGGTGCAATTGGATCCAAATGCTTTCCGTTCTTCGATCCCATCTTCACAGTCCTCGCTTGAATACAGATAGGATGAAAGACAAGTGGGTGATAAAGCTATTGAAAATTATGAATTTCAAAATATGAGTGGGTTTTCAGAAATCTTTAGAAGAATAACAGTAAAATGAATCCCTAGACCCTCAAAACCTTTTGGGAGAGAGAGAAAGAGACGCAGACGTACGGACCGCCAATTTTTTTTTCGAACGAATGTTTTGATTGTTTTTTCGCCGATATTTTTCACAATAAACAGTCATATCTGGGGAGGGCTGAGAAGGGATCCGGTGAGTCACTAGTTGTGGAAACTGATGATAATTGGAAAAAAAAAGGAAAAATTGTTGTGATAAGGTTATAACACCAAAAGTTAGCCAAGACAGATAATCAGACAAAAGTAATGGATATTAGAATAGGTTTTTTTGAGAAAATTGTTAATAACACACATTCACGCACAAAACAAAAAAGGGGGAAAGCGGGGAGTCGGAAATGAACAAAAAAAACACTGGTGCGATTGACGAAAATATGGAAAAGAAAAAGAGGAACATGAAAATGGATGTATAGAATACAATTTAAATGTGGATGGGATTTGCAGAGCTACAATCTTCGAAATTGAAAATTATTTAGATAGAGATCTGCCTAAATTGTACGAAACCTTCAAAAAGAAAGGAATGGGGAAAAGAATCTATTTTGGGTTAGAACAAAAGCGAAGAGTCATCCGGTCGTCCGTATTGGTGTTATAACCTTATCTGTGGTTTCTAAAGGAGCTGGAAGCATCTAAAGTTTGTGAACTAGTTCTTTGGATCAAATATACAAAAAGAGGGAAGAAGATAAAGAGAACGAAACTGATGAAATTTCACAACCTCCATGCATTAAAAAACACCTGTTAATTATTTCTAAATTCTTTAAAAAATCACATTGCTCTTTTTTTCATTTTTAATTAGTCATATCCCAGTTTGCAGGAACTTGGTTTCTTGATGTAACCATGATGAACTCCTCGCTTCAACGCTTTTTCCAGCTCCTCGACCATGGCTTGAATTCTATTCTCTAGGTGTCTCATCGCCCCTTCCACGATTCTCCTTGTATAATCTACCACGCGATCGTCGATTCGTCGAGCTCTCTCCAATTCCTCTCCTTCCAATGTTGGTTCGTTTTCGGTTGTACTTCGTATCGCTCTGAAAATTGTTGTTGTGTACTGAGCAACTCACTCAATCATACGAGTTATGTCAAATGGTTCTAGAGGCACATGGTTAGAAGACATGATTAGTCTGGTCTGTAAATATTCAAGATAAATGAAACAAAAGAGGATTTTGTATGGGAAAGTTCTTTTTAATCAAGAATAGAAAAATTAAAATGGAGAGCAAAATTATTTTAACTCTGAAAATTTTCTTCGAATTCAATTCTTAAACCGTAGACACAGAAACGACTCTAGATTTTTTTTCAGGTACAAATTTGAGAATAAATGAGATGAGCATTTTGGTGTGAAAATTATAGGAAACAAGAAAAACAAATATTGAGCCTAATTTTTTTTTAATTTTTCGCCATTTTTTGGGAGGAGGTCTTTGAACATATACACATAATGCTCTACATAGTAGAATGGCCTTAAATTATGAAGGTTATTTTATTATCATGATTACGATTTTTGGCAATTCTTTCACTAAAATTTTTTGAATCAAAACTAGGTTAGAGGAAACGAAGTTGTGAAAAAATGAAATCCAAACAGAAATAATATTTTTCAGTTATATCACCGGGAAAAAAGCATATCACATGTGATATGAAGCAAAAGCTTAGAATACGGATAAGTTTTAAATAATCTTCTACCGCCCCTTTTAATGAAAGCAAGCGTGTCCATTGAAAACTTAATCTTACTAACAAAAAAAAGCCACGTGATTCTATAGAAACTCTAATAAACTAGCTGAAAAAAATTTGATTCTCATAATCTCACCGATTTGAAATCAACATGAACCCGATTCCCTCAAAAAATAATCTTCTAATTGAAAAATTTTTCAAAAAAATGTTTTTCAAATTTAAGAAAGTATAATATTTAAAAGCAAAATTATCGAAAAAAAGACACGGGCGATGAACTGGTTCAATTTGGGGTAATTGTACCAGAACATGGAAAAATCGGGGTATTAAATAGAAAAAAGGGAAGAAAAGGAAAGAAAAGGACAGAAAATGGAAAAAATAAAGAAACATGTTGATAGAAAGGCAAAGTTAAGCAAAGAATACTCAAATCGACCGGTGAAGAAATTAGAAAATTAAAATCCGGACGAGTAGTCAGCATCCTAATCGTCAGCATCAGGAGAGTTGTTCATCTCGATCAATTCCGCGATTTCAGATGTCTCAGTGACTTCTTTGTTGACGTCAAACTTGAGCAAAATTTCCTCCTCCTCTCTTATGAGATTGCAGCGGTACACTCGATTAGGCAAGTCTGGTTTACTGTAAAATTGTTTTATCGAAAAAATCTGACCTCTCAATGCTTACACGCTCACAGTGGCTGCACGTGCACTGTTCAACTTGAACACCCGTTTAAATTTTTCATAGTTTGGTTTCTCATCATACTCGAGAGCTCTACACATTATGAGTGCCTTCTTGAATTCCGGAACATCGCAAATTTTCGATCCGTCCATTCCACCTTGCTTCATATCAAAGTATGCATGATGTCCGCATCTATTTGTTGGCGCTTGAAGGTTTCTCCATGGCAGAGAAACCTTGCAAATGTCCATAAGAGTATAGATCAGTGATTCGAGATCGTCGCGGCGGGAATTGTCTGTAACGGTATGGCTTTTGACCCAAAGAGGCTTCAAGTTGTTACTAATGTCAACTACCGTAATCACTCTTGTAGAACAACCTAAACTTGAGCCCCTCTATCTCATTTCTTTTCGAAGATGTCAAAAAGTAGTTAACTGAAAAAATGTTTATCATAATATCATCAACATTTTGTAAGTTAACCACTAATTGATGTATCTCGAAAACAAGATAAATGTTTCCAAAGTTGGAAGCTATCAAGCTCTTTTAGAGTGATTACGGTAATCGTTTTTAGACATAACTCACAAATGGAGAGGTGTTGATTTGCACTCATGTAGAGCACAGTACCACGTGGGGCTCGAGTAGTTGCTTCGAGATGTTCCACGTCAGAGTCCAAATAGGTGCTGGTGAATCCAAAGTCGAGGATCTGAAGATATCCTGGACATTAGAAACCAATTCTCTATCATATGCTTACGTAAAGCCTATGGTATTAGGTTGGCGGGAAAGTCTTTGTCACTTTTTCAATAGTTTATTTCTCAAAGAAAAAATAACCGAATAATTAATTATATTGTCCATCATTATCAACAACATGTCTCCAACGTTCCCTCAATTTATGGATTCCATTGCGGTAGAATCCAGCCGGGCGTGAGGCAAAGTATTGTTTGAGTGCCGCTTCGACCGCTCCACGGGAATTGAAGCTTCTTCCTTCGAAGGCACGTGTCATATCGCCAAATAACCAATAGTCGGAAGGAGCAAGATAAGGAGAATACGGGGGGTGAGGGAGAACATTCCATCCATATCCCATCAGCTCCTGCTTCACTTGTTTCGAAACATGTGGGCGAGCGTTATCATGTTGATAGTACACTTTCTTGTCTTTCAGGGCCGAACGGTCGACTGCTTTCTTGAGGTTTCGTAGTTGAGTAGTGTAGAGGTCTCCAGTTATTGTTTTGCCCTCGGGCAGAAGTTCCCAGTAGATGGGGCCGTCCACTCCCCACCACACAGAGAGCATAACTTTTTTCGGATGAAGGTCGGGTTTGGGGACATCCTGTGGGCTCTCTCCTTCTCCAACCCACTGGGATTTCCTGTGGTGATTATCGTAGAAGACCCACTTCTCATCTCCGGTTATTAGCCGGTCCAGCCATCGATCGCCCGCGTGGAGAGTGAGAAGAGTAATCGAATCGTCGACTCGGCGGTCAAGGTTGGCTTGAGTCAGGTGATGACGTATGAATCGACCAAAAAGTTTTCTCATTCCAAGAGACTTCAAACCTTCAAGGACTGTGCTATGGTGAACTCCGAATGTGACAGCTAGTTCACGGCTAGATTGAAATGGATCCGATTGCAATGCGTGCTTCAGCTTGTCCAAATCCAACTCACGGGGTCTCCCAGAGCGATCCTTTTCATCGAGCGAGAAGTCATCTTTTTCGAAACGATGGAACCAATTGCGAATAGTATTGTAGTGAGGGGCATGTGTGTTGTACACATTCTTCAAGAAAGTTTCCGAATCCTTCATCGCGTGTGAGATAGGAAGAGGTAAATCAAAACATGTCTGATGTGAATAGCAGTGGGAACAAACATATCGTTTCAATTACAGATGAGGAGCAGGGAAGGAAATGGGGACTTGTTTATATGGAAGGTTCTTATCACCTTGTTATTCACTAGAGTCGATATCATACACAGCCTCCATATACGAGAACAGTGATTAAACAAACAGAGTGACAAAGACTTTCCCGCCAACCTAATATTCCGATCCCAATCCAAATGCAAAGTTAGCCGGCTTGATATCCGCATGAACCAGCCCTCTCTCATGGATCTGCTCCAAAATATCAATCATCTGCGGAGCCAGCTTGAAAGCTTCCGTTCTTCGAAGCTTTCTTCCTTTCGCTCTCACAAATTGGAGCAAACTGATTCCAACCAGCTCCAGCTGAAGGAATGTGAATCCTTGCTCACGGAAAGTCGAGTAAAACTTTGCAACTCCTTGGACACCCATCAATTTTTCATAGGCTTCCACTTCGTTTTTGTACGAAGCAGCACATCTCTCCATTTTCATAGCATACGGATAAGATGTATCAGTGTCCACAACCATTGTTACGATCCCAAATCCTCCTTTTCCGATTGGATTCAAGTATGTGAAACGACCGTTTCCGAAGCGAATGTCTAAAATGACAAAGTTTACTCCTTTATGAGTTAATGAAAGTTACCATTATCTTTCGAGATTTGACTGACAACGATTGCATTATCGAGGCGAGGAATCGGTCTGAAAAATGAAATTTTGTGTCTATCTTGAAAACATTCGCTTCTAGTTTTTCGTACACCGGTAATGGTCCATATTAATTTTTGTCCGTTTCTGATAGCTGTATAGTTGCTTTTTCAGTTGGTATACCGTATTCCTCTTAAGAAGCCCACTCAAACCAAACCGTCAACTGTGAGCTCAATTATCTTGATTCCTGTTAAAGAAAACATTTTCAACTAATAAAATAAAGTTTATATTAAAAATAATTATTTACTAGTTGAAAGTTTTTCGATATGTTTCATAGAAAATTAAATGTATGACCCTCAAAGTTGACGGGTGGAGTGGCGATCTATTGGGCTGCTTACAGTAAGTTTGATTGCATAAATTCTCTAATTTTCCTGTTCGAACTACTCAAATTCCTACCACAGTAACTAAACTGTAGGATGGAATAGTTTGGGGTATGGAAGTAAAATTTCCCACTCGGAAGTCGGAAGTAGGTAGCCGGAATTAAACTTTCAAAAATCGAGCTATTTTGGTAGCCTACGGTTATTTCAGACTATAGTTTATGTTATTCGCGGTAATTTTTTTGATTTTTCTGGTCGAAAACAGACAACTTTCGCAATTTTTTTTCGCAAAAAGTCGTTGATGACATTCAAGAATGAGAAGTCGGAAGTAAAGTGCGTTTTTCGAAAGTCGGAAGTAGGAAGTAAAATTTGTTTTTCGGAAGTCGGAAGTAAGAAGTCGGAAGGGAAAAATGCCCGGAAGTCGGAATTCCTGACATCTCTCATATGGACCATTACATAGATGATAAATTTGAACCAAATTATCTGGGTGCCTGTCAAAGATGTTTAAAAACTTTTACTAATTAAATATTGGTGATACTTTGATGAATAATTTGTTAGTTGAACGTTTTTTGATATCTTTCACAGGAATCAAAAATTGAACTAAAAGGTGCCGGTTTGCAATGGCTTCTATCAGAGGAGATGCGGTAAGTTTGAATCCACAAAGGTTAATTTATTATTTCAACCTATTTTTCTATACGACCTGCTCAAAATTCTACTACAGTAACTAAACTTCAGGGTAACATTGTTTTCGATATAAATCACTATAAAGATGAGTCAGAGTATTGATTAGATTACGCAATCAACAATATATATCGTTTTTCTCTCTTCGGAATGTTCGAAATGCATCTTAAAAAACAGAATACAAATAAGCGATAATATAGCTTCTCGAAGTGGAAGGCCAGGGATATTAGTAATTCCAAAAGTTTCAAAAATTCCGAAGTTTTATTTTTCGGAATCCGCTCGGAACATTTCAAATTTTTTTTAGGAATTCGAGGTTTTCGCTTACTGTAATTCATACCGAACACGACAAATTTACTTGCAGGTCTTGAGCGGTATCACTTTCAATTTTTCTTTTACATTTTGAAATCTAATTTCAATTGTTTTCTCTATCGTTCGAGTCTTTATAATGAGAAAGTTGGATTTCTACTTCAAAATATGACTGCTGAATAAACTCCTAAGATTTCTAGTACAGTATGATTTCCAAATTTGCCCAGTAACTCACGATGGTTCGAGTTCGGTCTTCTCGGCTTCTCCCGTCTTCTCGCCTTGTGTCGATGCTTTGGAACCCATGTTTGAGAATCCGTCACAATTCTGTAAATCAGAAAAAAACAAACAAGGAATAGGTGTAATTGCGTTTTGCGGTAGGGGAAAGTGGTCCGAGGAAATGAAGAGGGAAAATTGACACGACAAGAAAATCGGCGTTGAATGACATTATGACTCAATTCCTCCTATTGAAGCAACATGGAAAAAAACAAAAATGAGATATCATAGAGCTAGTGAGAGACGCAGGCAATGACACTGTTTTTCAGTGATCTATTTCAAAATCAGTGATAGAACGTTTCAAAACAATTGGGGGAGTGGAAAATTGTTTTATGTTGATACGAAAACATGGGGACTGTGGAAGAGAAATGAGTGGCCGTGGCCGTGGCCCAAGATGCCACACGACGTAATATGAAAATACTTTCAGGTTACTGTAGTTGTCGTTGTGGGATCTTCGTCTACTGTCACCTTTCTACAGCTCCGATTTTTCGTAACTGAATGTAACGAGCTGAACGATTACAGAACTAAAAAAACTTTTCAGAGTCCAGGTTATTGAAAGTATCTCTACGGTAAGGTTGCAAACTTTGAGAGATGTGTAACTAATTAAAAGCAACCCTATAATTAAAAAACAGATATTGTAAAATGCTTAAAATCTTTCCCAAAACTTCAAGTGTCCCAAATCATAATTTCTCAATTTTGTTTGAAAAAGAAAAAACAAAAACGTGTCTTCTTTCTTTTCTCTTCTCTCTAATTCGATTTGAATTCTAATAGTTGCTATGAAACCGTCCTTCTTCCGAGCCCGTGGCCATGGAGGTCACCTGGAAACATTCCGAGAGCTAAGCCCCCAAACCCCCCTCTTCTCTTTTTTTCCTTTCTTCTTCTTAGAACATCTAGAACTCAGTTTCATATTGAACTGAAAAAAAATGACGAATCCAGCTGATGCGGAACCAGTTTCCAACTTTGTCTACACCGTTCAGCCAGGAATGGAAGAGAATGAGTAAGTAATGACTAGATAACATTGGGACATTTTTAGAAAACAACCGTATTTGTCGTATTTGCCCTGATAGAACCCTTCCTAAATTGTCAACTTTGAGCTCAATTATCTTGCTTCCTGTGGAAGATATTCGAAAATTGCCGAATAATGAAATATTGGTGATACTATGATAAATTCAACAGTTGACAAATTTTTGACATCTTTCATGAGAAGCAAGATAAACGAGCTCCAAGTTAAAGATTGGGATAGTTATGCCATCATAGTTTTCAAGGTAGGCTAACTTAGAATTCAAAAATGCTTCAATTTCAATGTTTCTTCTTCCAAAGGCTATCATGATATATATCTTTTCTAGGGATGATCAGCGTCCAGCCACAAAAATGCGTCCGGTACGACAACGTACTTTTTGCATCCCATTACTGTATTTGCTCGCTTGTTTGGCAGGATGCGTTGAGAGTTGCCATTTTGCTTGTGAGTGTGAGGACGACGATGACTCGGATGTTTGTGATGATTTGATTGAATATTGAATACCGCTGATTGAATGAAGATTTTAACCTGTTTGACCTTGGTGTTTGTCCAGCAATTAGCTATTAAAGTACCGATGAGTACCGATGAAATACCGATAAACGTCTAAAATTATAATGATCAGTTTCGAGTGTTAGAATACTTACTACTTGTCTTTTGGGAATTGAAAATTTTAGAAATGATGAACCAAGCACAGAACTCGATTTTATTGTTTCCTACTTTCTGTGCAGTCACCTGCCAAAATAATAGAGTGTTATTAACCACCAGCATTCAATCTATTTTTTTTTTCAAATGTTCGTCGCTTCGTTTCTCACATTTTATAAATAAAAGGGTCACGTAAATATATATATATATATACATATTTTTTTTTTCAAAAGTCTACAGATGGACACGAGGACGGACAGACGCCTCTAGCGTTTTATTAATAAGGAAGATAGCATAGTTCTATGCTACATTTCCTGTGCTTGAAACCTTCCAATTAAACGAATGAATCCCACATACCAATTCGGAAATCCAAGTTGGGCATTTTCATATGGGACTTCCCTAGCCAGAAGATGAAAAGGTGTTGGCGGCATTGCACAAGTAGAAATCAAATATTTGAAAAAAAAAGTTTAACGAGGAGAACGAAAAATAAAATTTTTGTTCTTGTCTCTTGTCGACAACAGCCTTCCTATTTTTTCGCGTCTTTGGAATTACCCAGAGTCTTAATTTTCAACGATTAGAAGGAAAAAGGCTTCAACGGATTCAAAAAGTCTGAAAGTTCTATTCCCGAGAATCATTGTGCAATAATATTTAAAACTTTGTTCCTGTTTTTCATATTCCTCGTTTTTTTCAAGCCGTCATTCATCCATTCATCATTCAAATTTGGGTCTGTGGCGGTTACCTAGAAACATCTCATCATCCCGCCAAAGCTTCTTCTCACAAACTTAGTTTTATTTTTCTGGTTTCCTCTTCTTCTTCTTCTCCAACTTATATTCCAGGCTTGAATCGTACAACTATGACTGAACAATCTAATCCTAACACTGAATTTGACAACGTGGTGTATGATAACCTTCAGGAGCTTGTGTAAGTTACTTTGTTCAATTTTTTCAATTTAAACAATCTAAACAACGTTTTCAATCTATACAAAAAAAGAGATAATCACTTCTAGAGTTTCAATTCCACTTGTCTGCCTTCCAGTCTTCTCGGTTTTTGCTTATGTTCACGATCTGATCTGTACACTATTCGAGGAAGATAAAGAGTACTCCGATGTATTAGGAGAATTATACGACAAATAATTTTGTGACTTAAATAAAAACCATTCTGTTGAACTTTCGCTAATTTTTCATTGATTATAAATTTAGGTTTCCTCTATGATTTGTGGTTTTGAACCACAATCTTTCTAACCATAAAAACCACACATTCGGTGGCCGAGAAATTTTTCGTTGTTCGACCACGGCCCTTGAGAGAGTGACGTGTGCGTGTATGAAAGGTGTAGAGAGGAGACAGTTGGACGTCTCGTTTCGCTAAATAAACGAGTGGACTGCGAGAGACGACATCGGGCGTTAGAGTTAGACTGGCGGATAAAAGTCAGCCGTACGCATTGTTGTAAGTGGCCTTGATATTGCTGAGGATTTTTACGGAATTTTAAATTATTTTCAAAACATTTTTTCACATTAATTGTTTCGCCTTCCATTTATTTTGTTTTCGCAACAAGTTTTGTTTGCTAGTGTTGCGAATGCTGCAAACGCGCTTTGCTGCATTGTGAACTGAGACCAAAACTCTTCCACTCATGTTTGAAAATCAATACTTTTCAATCGAAAATTGGGGGGGGGGGGTACGACGAATTCGAACGTTTTCAAATTCGAACAGACCTAAAATCGAACTGATTCAATTCAGAACAGTCTTTTTTTCGCACACGTACCAGAACAGAACGCGGACAGAATCGAACTGTTACAAGTTCGAACTGGTAAGGAGTCGAACTGTCCCA